TTATTTCAGACAGTGGAACGCAACAAATCTTCAAGAAATTATTTGCAGACTTAAGTTAAGAACGCACCTTAAATCGTGTGGAAAAAAAAATTTGAGGCGTCAAACTAAAAAAGAAAAAAAGAGGGAAATCGGTTTATTTTAACAGTTTTCAATATTTTTCTACACATACGTGCTTTCATCAACAAATGGTTCAAGACTGATGCTAATTGCTTTTACTCGCAACCAATCAAACCACTTCAACATTTGAATGACACTTCTACGTGGTGGTTTGGACAGAAATAGACACATTATTACATGTGATTGCATCAGAGACTGTTCATGTATCTATGATGTGGGCTGTGAGCTGTAAGGGAAAGGTACATTGTTTACTGAAAGAAATATCCCCAAGGCAAATGTGGACTCAGTGATGCAGCTCCATTTAATTGTGAAAGCAGGACAAGTTTACACATGTACCCTGAAGCAACACGTGTTCCTTACCTTTTTAAAACTACGCCCCACCAAGTCCAGACTTTGAAATAAATGAAATGAAACCTTGCAATTCAGGTTAAAAGAGATTGCCTATTAATTATTTCCCAAACCTTGGTTTACAAATACATCACTTCCATGCAGCTTTCTTATGTTGATATTTCTATTCTTGGAGGCTATTTCACAATTGATTCTATACTTGCAAGTTTTTCATAAAATCTGCATAATTCCAGCCAAATGTCTGTTATGTCATACCAACACAGCAAAATGCTTGAAATACTGGGTGCATGTGCACCTTAGTGCACCCAAAATTGGAGTTGTGCACCTAATTTTTTTGTAGGAATTTGTAACATTAGAAATGACGTATGTATAATAGTATACCAGATATTCTTGGTCTCTAAGTATCAGAAAAATGATACTGAAATCTTTGTTGTAGTATTTGTTTAAGATTGTGAAGTTAGCTCTCATTTTAGATTCAAACTCAGAAAAGGAGCAGTAAGACCTGCAATTAGGTTTTGTTTCATGATATAGTACACCCAAAAAATTTTTGTGCACCTAATTTTTTAGGTTGGGTGAACCAGTGCACCTATGCCCAAAAATGAATTTCGAGCCCTGAAATGGAAATGACTGCTTGTTCCAAACAACTAAGAACTAACTCATGAGTGAGGTACCATCTGTGCCTGGTGGCAATGTGCTACGACGACATACATACAACTGCGCTATGGAGTGGTGAAACTCCAATAAACAACGGCCCAGTTGGAATGCCCATCAAATGTAGACTTTGGCACTGCTTTGTTTTTATAACTTGTAAACTCTGTCAGACCATCTGCAAGAAGTCTTGAACTGGGTCAAGATACGGAGACCGCAAGTCCATCAGGCCTGTGTTACGAAACGGACTTTGCCGAATGTCCTAACCTGATTGGGAAATCCTTTGATGCGGTGTGAATGTTTCCCACAGTTCTAGAAAGTACGGTAATAGAATTAGAGCATGTTCTATTTTAAGTCTGCAATGGCCAATGTTGGGGGGGTTCGAGTTTCAAGGCGCTATTTACGTTTCAATGCCAACCCACTTGTGCATTGACAACTGCATTACCAGTGCTCTGTTCCAAGATTGTGGGGGTGATAGGGGTGCTATATGATCTGTGACCAACAATACCTCAACAGATAAACTTCTTTGTTTGGCAACACAAAAATATCCCAAACTAACTTTGTAGGCCAGTGCTTCAGCTAGCATGCTTGTGAAATGTAACTCTTTCCCTAAAACTAATTTATGTGCATATAATTCCACAAAGGAGTCCAACAGTGGAGCTTAGCTCCTTGGCTTGCCATGTGGCCCCGACCTTTGACCTCCTATGGATTTGTGCACAGAGCTCTAGGAGCTCATCAATATTCATAAACCCTACATCCTTTTGAGAGATATACATCTTGAACACTAGGGCTGGTAATATGAACAGGTTACAACAATCTGTAAAATACTTACACTAAATTTCTGGCTACAGATGCAGTGACAAAACATTTCAATTTCTCGTTTTTCGGAACTCTTTCACCATCCAAATTTCTTCACAATTTCTTACCAAGATGCTGACCTATATATCGATTAGGCAGTGTTGCTATGATTAAGATTGTGTGTTACCTCAAATCAATAAATTATTTTCATTCCTAACACTATTCCTAAACCATTCTTAGCACTCTTTGCACATAAAAGCTCTAGAATTTTAGAAGGAAAATTCCTAATTGCTCATCGATCACATAGCCAGACACGTGACTAAAGAGCAATCTTTAAAATCAACCCATTTCGACTGGGGCCAGTCCTAGTTCAAACAATTGCGATAAGTCTTCCAGATGTGCGTTGTACTTTGCCCTCTGTTAACAAATATTCAAGATGGAGACAACTCTTGGTTTTTTCCATCTGTGGGAGGTATGTTGCCATGGCAGCCTGCCAAAAATAGAAGAAAGGTGGAATAGTCCACTCACATTTTTCTGTGGGGGGGGGGACCTATGTGCTTTCTACTCTGGGGAGACTAATCCAAGTGATATGAAATACATGGTAGAAATTTAGATTGGGTAGACAATTAAAACAACAGACTGATAAGAGGGTCTATGGTTTCACAAAGGGAGGAGCAACTAGGAGATAGGTAACCATATACAACACATCTTCATTCTACTCTCTACCACGAATGGGGAGGCAATGTCAAACCACAGCAAATTTCTGTCCAATTATTTCAATATTGTCAGCGATAAAGATTATGCAAATGATTGTAGAATATAGTTTTTTGACCCTGACACAGTTACCAAAAAAAAGTACGGGTGACCCAGTATGCTTGGATAAAAATGCGTCAAACTGTAGCAAATTTATGTCCGTTTATTTCAATGTTGTCAGCAATAAAGATAATGTAATTATGCAAATGATTGTAGAATATAGCTCTCTGACCCTGACACAGTTACCAAAAAGAGTAGGGGTGACCCAGTATGCTTGGATCAAAATGCTTACCCTAGCTAGGCTGCATTGTAGTAGATTGTATGACTTGAAAACTTGAGGATGACTGCTTTTATACCTTTACTTTAGGCCACACCGATTTAATTTTATGGATGACATCCTCTGAAGACCCCCAAACTAGTGCGCGCGGGCGAATTAAAAAAAATTCCGGCCAAAAATAAAAATGCTACTAAACCACAGGAATACAAAGCTGGTATTGTGAATTCGCGGCAGTTCGTAGCGACGTATACGACAAGCCGGCAAATGCTGTTTTTTTTGCGGAATTTATTAATCGGTACTGTCCGTATGTACTGAGTTCTTGAGTCGTGGAGCTTCGAATTCGATAGTTTGGGTGCTCGGCTCCGTTTTGTCGCTGACTACCATGGACTACCCAGGCCTAGAGCCAGACCAGAGCCTCCGTGGACGTGATCTCTTTTTTTTTGAGGGCGACAGGCGAAAATCAATGCGCGCGCGGATGTCATCCATAAAATTAAATCGGTATGGCCTTAGTCTCTTTCCAGTGCTAACCTTTAACCTTTACATGAAGATTGACATCTGGGGTTTCCCTGGCCTTCTACATACCTGCCTGCCAGTTTGAATTAGGTGTAAAAACCATCTAAAACCAAGACAAACAAACACACAAACAGAAACAACTCAAGGGATGCTGGTTACAAAAACGATTTCATCCCTTGTACTTCTCAAATCTAAGCTCCTAAGTTTGCCGCAAAACCTCAAATATGTGCCGTCAAACAAAGAATGTGTTCCACTTCGCTGGGACCAGGTCTGTCCAGTCTGCAAGAGCTGAAATATGATACCCCCAGGCCCTAACCTGTCAGTGTCCCCGTCCAACAACTAGTGGAGACAAATGTCTACTTTTCCTTTCTCTTCAGCTCACCAATTGCATCTGGTGCAACGAAAAACCATGAATCTTGCTGCTCGAGGTTAAAAATTACCTCTCGTTTGGTTGCTAAGTGCGTCTGCAGACGACGGGGGAAACTTGAGCTGAGGGCATTTACTTTGCATGCGTAACAATGGAGGGCTCTATAGGAAAGGGGTCCACTATTCAAATGCCTGCAGAAGAAAAGCCTGGGGTGACCTTTGCTTGCAGGTGAAGTGATGTGAATAGCTGGGACGTCAGATTGCCGGCCGGCGCTCGAAAAGACCTAGGACGCATGGACACCGACTAGTAGTTCTAGTCCATTTAGAGCTTAAACTCAGGAAATAACTTGCTACCTCGACAAGGACACATAACACAAGCTGTCGTCACCACATCCACACCCACAAGTTACTTTGTGGGCAGCTCTTATTAAAGAGTAGACAGGTCAACATACACAGGAACGATAACAGTACGCGCGCAGGCGTTTGCGGTCCGCGATTTGCGGACAAAATGCAGGGAATTCCAAGTGTCGGGACTGCGGGTGATGCCAGTTTACACTGCAACACATCCTGACAAATCCCGACCCCCAAAAATAGCCGCGCAAGCATGGGACAGCCCCGTGCCATGTCCTTGCCCTTACAATAACAAACCCTCAAAATAGAGGAGTAACATTATCATAATCATTATGTAATCTGTCATACGTACCTCAGATTTCTATATAAAACTCAAACATCAGTCAACCAACGTGAACATAAAAACTTTTTGGAACAACGTTCAACTTTGTGCCACTTGTGTTTGCTGTCAAATGCAACCTACTATCATCATAAAAGATGCACAATATCATATGTGTATGTGTGTAAAAATATACTGATTAGTGTGGGAAACTTTTGTACTAAAATAAAAACTTGCTGTCAGCAGTGTGGTTACATACTAGGTGATTTCTGTACACAATAGCACTATTGTCTTGCTACTACTGAATCATGAATTTGATGCAAGTGTTAGAACAATAGCTATTGTCCTATATTCATCTACCAATGCTCTTGACAAGCTGACACTACTCAGTATTGCTCGCGAGCACGGTGCTATAAATTATGTTAATCAATTCATTTAACTTGGCATATGATTAATCTTGCTGATAGTTTAGTGTGTATGTGTGTGTGTGCAAAGCAACACATGCATTACCTCCAAGTGTTACTCCAGGTGCAGGCGACCCTATAAATCCTGAGTCATTACCTTCACTACTTCGAGCCCCTGGTCTTGGCGGAGGCCTTGGCGGTCGTCTTGGCACAGCCACGGGGACGAAATATCTTTCTACAAACTCAGTGTAGGTACCGGGGAAGCACCCTGATTCGCCTGTTCTTTCGTTACGGCCAGTCAACCAGCCCTCGGGTTTCTCAACTGTCCCCTCAATGTCTAAGAACGGTCCCTTCGCGACAAGGATGTCCCCGACTTCCATGCTGACATCCTCGGAAGATTCCTTGTCGTAGCGGTAGAGTGCGCGGTACTTCGCTGCTTCTACTCCCCTTTCCATCGCGTCACTTCCTCCGGTCGCCATTATACGCTACACACGTCCACGTTTACTCAACGGTAACGTCTGCAAAAATCAAGAGACATTGTCTAGATCAAAATCAAGTCTACAACACAGTTTGTTTTACTAAATTTTAAAATCCTGAAAAATTCAAACCTGTTGCACTTAAAAAAAGGAACAAAACTTAAGTCAAATACATTTGTCAAGAACATAAGTATCAGCAATCTTTCATGCAACCACTGTCCATGTGCAGAAATGTTTTTAAAGTTGTCCAAATAGTCAGAAAAGGAGGAAGGAAGAATATACAAAGCACTTCCTGCAACAAGTTCATTTTTTTAGTCGGCCATATTTTTGGTGAACTCAGAATGATGACCACGTACTTTGGGGACATATTTCCTGAAAATTATAAGATAGTGCAGATTTTTCTACGCTGTACAGGCAGTGGCAGCAATATTTTGGGACGGTCAGTTGTCGGGAAGGGGCGGATTTGTTGCTGTGTCGAGCGACATTTCCACAACAGGGCAGCCATCTTGGCATCACAAAAATGCTGCTGCCCGCAAAGTTTACCGTCTGAGGCCGCTTCGCAAACACGGGCCACGCGGAATATCCCGTCAGCAATCTCTCAACACACCGATAGACTGGCCGGGGAAGCAAAATCAGTAGACTGGAAGGAATATCCGATCAAGCAAACTGGGTAGAAAAAAAAGAACTGGCTAACTTCGCACGCTTCCGTGTGGTTGGGAGCTATGCTAGTATATCACTATATGGTGGCCGAGCGCTGCAGGCGACAGGAAAACGCAGGCCCGGGTGCATGCGGCGGCACGTCAGCCTACAGGCCCCTCGCCGCTCTGTCGGGGACAACTATCCCACAATATATGTGCAAATGAAGCGCGTCTCGCTCCTACAGATTCTCAGGATATCTTACCGTCTGACAGGTGTGGAGTCGTCGCACTTCCGAGGAATCCAGCGAAGGGGAATCCCGTGAGCTCACCCTCCAGATTTACTGTTCTAACCTACTTGCGGGGGCCTGGGTTGGTACGGTGCAAGGAATACGGTGAGTGTGCCGTGGTTTGAAGCGCTATCTCGCCCGCGAGAGTCTTCAGAAGCTTCGGTGCTACACCGTCTAACGGTGATCTCCCGTGAACGAGGGTCTGATGGCGTTGTCGAGCCCTATCGGCGCCTGTAGGACAGGGAAGGGGACCTACACTCCACCTCCCAGCTCGGCCATGACCCAGGCTGCCGCTGCAGGAAGTAAGCACAGAGACATGCGAGACCTGCGGCACGTGACCACTGACGTCAGCACACTCGTCCCCAGGACCGGGTACTCTCGTTCGTTATCACGTTTTGCCCGAGGGAAAACGTTCATTTTCATCCAACGCAAAGGTCTCAAAATCCTAGGTTTTGTTCGCGAAGTTTTTCTCCTCACTTTTGCCGAAATATATCATCGGAGATAGGAAATATCCAGTCCAAAGTAGAGACGACCATGCGTTTCTACGTCATCTATTTGCCAGGTTTTAGTTACACCGTGGTTGCTGAGCGGCCGCTTTCTTGTTTTATCAGTAAGAGAATCACAGAACAATTGTCCAACAACACATAAGTCTTCGTCGGTTCTTTTGTATGACTGTCGACTTGTCAGTTACCACACGCCCTGATTACCTGTGACCGTGACTATGCTAACCCGTGTATATATTTCGCTCCGGCGGTTTCAACAGTTCGCAAAAGATATCAGATGACCCGCCTGAACGGACGCAGCAATAGCCTAGCTTTGTTCGTGTGTTTGTTTGTTTGTTTGTTTGTTTGTTTGTTTGTTTGCTGGTTGGTTGGTTGGTTGGTTGGTTGGTTGGTTGGTTGGTTGGTTGGTTCGTTGGTTGGTTGGTTGGTTGGTTCGTTCGTTCGTTGGTTCGTTGCTTGCTTGCTTAAAATTGCTTGCTTGCTTGGGTGTTTGTTTGTTTGTTGTTGAGTTGGTTGGTTAGTTGGTTGCCTGGTTGCTTTCTTTCTTGCTTTCTTTCTTGCTTGCTTAAAAATTGCTTCCTTGCTTAGTTGCATTTTGGTTGCGTATCAAAGTAGACCATCATGACCGTGTCCCATTTTGCTCAGTACCGGCCGGCGGTCTGACGGACATCTCTGTACCCACACGCACACAGTACCCACACCGTGACACGTGCTTCTCCTCTTACCTCTACTCCAGGCTACTCAGTATCAATTGTGGCCGCAAAATCATAACAACCGCAAATGGTGTAACCCAGAACGTGGCGCATGCAGGGAAGGAAAACTGTAGCTTTCATCGGCACTTTTCAATCTCTCTGAGGAGCGACCTAGTCACCTAGATTGCTGAGCTATTCAGGTTGTTTGAGGGCCTGCATGGGGGATAGTGATTACGAATTACGCAAAATTTTCGCCGCCGATATACGAATTACGTTAAAGTCTCAGAGCTGATTACGACTTTACGCTTTGCGGGTAATGTACTATTTTACGAATTACGTTGATTTTTGGGAGCGATGCTGCCTATATATAGATTACGAAGACTGAAAAGGCCTGATTACGCCTTACGAAAAAGGGCATATGCAGGACCCCTTGCTTAGTTCGGACAAGGAGGTTTGGAGCTAGCAGGATATACGGTGTGTATTTTCAGGATAGATACTATCTCTTCCCGAATAGAAGTAATTATATGTAAAAGTTGGCACAAGTCCACAAAAGCCTAATCTTGCGACATTACGATTGAACCATAAGACCCACTAGTTGTGTGACATGATCTTAAAGCGATATTAGGCCATGTTGATTTGATTATATGGATGACATCCGCGCGCGCATGAATTTTCGGCCGTTTCCAAAAAAAAAAAAAGTTTTCAAGCATACTGTAAATCGTACAAAACAGTTGCAAAATGAGCAAATATATACCGTAAGTTGCAAAAAGAATATTCAAAAATGATACTAATGTCGCAAAATGCCAAAATCAAACAAAAAAGACGAAAATGTAAAGAGAAATTAATTTAAAGAGTAGATTATTCACCAAACCATACTCTGTGTCTATTTTTTCAACCTTCATGACCATGCAGATTTCATAATGAAAGCTTTAACTTTTTTTTGCAAAACTTTTTTTTATTCGCACGCCCGCATCAGTTTTGGGGTTCCCAGAGGATGTCATCCATATAATCAAATCAACATGGCCTTATGTAAACCTTTTGCGCCCAAACTGAGACTATAAATAATTAAAATACATCTACATTGTCATTTTCAATAACTTTCATACTAGCGTCGCTATTTCGCTTTTCCGGCGACTCAGCGCAGTGCGATATTACATAAGTTGCGCCAGGTCAGCTGTATTTTAGGAGGCTCCTAAAAAGAATGTAAACAAACAGCGGTTTTCGTTCGGGTGTCTAGAAGTATAAGTTTTACCAGACAGTAGTTGTCTGTCTCCTATTATTGTATTGTACCGAATAGTATCGTTGACTGTTAAAGCCTTAGGGCATGATTTTGCAAATAAAGATCTTAAATGCATCTTCTGCAGCTTAAATACGTTTTTTGCGGCACAACGAGTTGATCTTTTACCCCCCAAATGTCATTATGAACCGAGGTAGGCTTCGAGTATAGTGTTACATGAAATCTTACATAATATCGCTTGCGTATAGCACATGTGCAATTCATTGGGTGAGCATCATGTCTAAGTAAAATTGAAATAAAAAATTGAAAACCAACCTAGGATTCGTTTCCGTTTTATTATATCTGTTTAGCGACTTTATCAATGCCTTTTGATGAATTTTTGTATTTGCCCTGAAGTCAGCAGCCAACACAAAAGTGCAACGACCTTCAAATGTACTCTAGTAACCTTCGGTACCCAATGTTCCACTTCCACAGGGTTAATAGCCTGAGATTTCATTCCGCACATTCGGCGATAAATACAGCATTCGAACTGGAGCGTAAAAATTGCCCATGGTGCGTCTACGCTGGTTCCTAATGGAGCCTGGCGTCAGTTTTAGCCCAGAATCTCGTTAAAACTCACTCAGGCCGAAGCGCATGATTGCTACCATAACATTTTGATAGATTTTAGATGGGTCAGATGCGTGGGAAAAAGGGACTAGATCTCGTCAAGCCCTTTAGTCGCACAACAAAGTCGACAGGCTCTATTAAAAAGTAAAACCAGCTCAGCCAGCACGACCAACTACACTTCAATTGTCCGTGAGAGAGATGCGCGCGACAAATTGGCTTGTCTTTCATCGAGTAGGAAAAAAAGGATAGAATTGCGTAAATATATACTTGTTTCGCACTGTGCCTTTTATACTTTGCCTAGTTTAACAGTGTACTGTCTAAACCAGTTCAATATGGACAGCTTCAGTTTCTGCATTTGTACCTCTCATCATTCAGTCCACCTGCTAAACCGAATTGATTTTATCTGAAAGGACGTAGGTACGTATACCAAGCCCTAGTGACATTGAAGACACAGACTTCGACGACTTTCTGCATTTGTGTCCGTCTCATCACACAGATAAATGTAGTTAGTGTATTTTTTCAAGTTTTTTTATTTATATTTTTTTTATTTATTTATTAGCACATACATAATAAAAGTTATACAAAATATTATAATGGAAATAAACGTCCAAGGGGTGGAAGAAAAGCCACAAAGGCTTATTCAAAAGTTATTTGATATCCTCGTCATCATGATTTTACAATTTCTACAGTTATATCAAATGAAAAGTTCAATTAGCCACTTGGTAAACCACATCAATTGCATATTTGATGGAACGGTAGCGAATGCTAGTGATACATATGTACAGTAACAGAGAGAAGGCATCGGCTTTGATGGCTTGATGCTCACCCATATGATCATTTGCGGTATGTTGTAATTAATGGGCGCTGTCAGGGGTGCTGACGTCATGGTAACTGATTCCCGCCATTTCGATTTCCAGCGCTCAGGTTGCTCCTGACTTTCGCCAAGGACTTTTGGGAAGCGTTGTCGCCATTCTAGGGGGTAATCTTTCATTTTCACATGAAGCTGAGGCGTTTTTAATTTTCACGCCTAGTAAAAGTTGAGCGAGCTCAGTAACAAGCTGGTACAACAACAGCATCTAGCGGATTTTCTCTACGCTACACCTGGGGTGCTTTAAAGTACATTTATTTTTCCACTGTCAGGAGTTTTGCAAAAACGTGGCTGTCTTTGTCAATATCACGTATCTGAGCTAACTTTTAGTTTTTATTTTCACAAACTATTAGTTGAGGACGTAGATTTTCGCTAGTTTCGCTGCCACAATCCTATCGTGCGATATCATGTCACCAAAAGCCGCTTTCGTGCGAAAGAAGAGCCAAGAAGCGCCAAGTCAGCGCTCTTGTCTGGCCCCGGTTTGTTGACGTGCGACCTGGATGACAACCTACGGTGTCTGCAGTATAACCTGGTATCCAGTCTGATTCGTGGTCGGGGCCGCAAGAGCTCTGGCCCGCCCGCCTCACATAGGTTTCCCGGTGTGTGTTTCACGAGAGATTGATTAGCCCTCCACGAACATCGTGTTGGGGGGGAACCAAATCCAAGCATACTGTCTCTTTATAACTCTCCTACCGGGACGGCCTGTTGCACTGGGCGGGGGAAGCTATTAGAGCCCCCGAAAGCACAACCTGCCCGAACACCCCCAATACCCCCAATCACGTAAGACTGGATACCAGGCTATCTGCAGCAGCGCATTGCCAGACTGTTGGACGACAGCAGCCACACGAGAGCCGGCGGCCGGCAGACGCCCCATCGTCTGACACTGATGGAGCAGCAACAGGTGTTTCTGTGGGGGCGGGAAAAACCTCACGCACGTAGCCTGGAACTTGGGCCGCCAGATCTAGCCTGTTATCCAGTCTTAGGTGGTAGGGGCGTACCCTCTACCAGCCACCGCGGATCGCTGGAAAAATAGTAGAAATTGGCCGAAATAAAGGGATAGTATACCAGAGAAGATCCAGGGCCATAGAAGCTCCTATTTGCGACCCACGGGATTAATTTGATATCGTTTGAAGCTTGCGACTCCGCACAGGCTCGGGGGCCACTCGCAAATTGGAGCTTCTATGGCCCTGGATCTTCTCTGGTATACTATCCCTTTATTTCGGCGAATTTCTAGTATTTTTCCAGCGATCCGCGGTGGCTGGTAGAGGCTTGTAGGGGCGGGTTTTCCTCGGGGCTACAGGAGCTCTTTCCCGATTGCCTCAGCTAGGTTTCCCGGTGGGTATATTTCACGAGAGATTGCTTGATCTTGATTTAGCCCTACCTATTATCTTCAAGCGGCCATCTCTATTAGCGTAACACTCCTGCCGGAGCGACTGTTCAGTTGCAAGACACAGCCTGCCTGAACACCCCAACTACTATGCCCCAGTCACGTATAAAGACTGCATGCCAGGCTACCACTACCAGATTCAGAAGCCGTCTGAACATAAAATTAACGCCATATTTTACAACTACAGACTCAGGCTATTTGAGATGTGTTTACGTAAATTGGAGCACACTGTGGTGCCGAAACAACATGTAACATAGTTTGTGGAAGGAATTTGGGGTACATTTGTATACCCTAATTCATTCTCCTGGCATTTCTGAACTTCAGAACGTTGGACTAGAAAACAGAGACCTATATCTGTCATACTGGACAGCCCAGGGGACATCACGAGGATTCTGTGTCTCTAGAAATGGATACATTCAACTGAACTGACCTGACCTGGGACATGAACTACAAGCAAAAAAATCAGGTTACCAGGCGAATTTTAACAAAAGTATTTTTCACAATTCATCCTCTTTCCGCTCGATATTTTTATACTACATTGTTCGTACCTTCAAGCCCAATACACTTATAATAAATAATGTTTTTTTCCGTTAGCTTGCAGACAGTCTAAGAATAAGTTTTAAATCATACCAAACATCATACACTGTACGTACGTGCATTTTCGTACTTCATAGATAATCCGCTAGAGGGCGCTTTTTGAAGACATTTCTCTGCAGAGGTCTGGGATCTCCAAGAGGATGTACTGACTGATAGGTTTAAACTGTAAAATCCACAGATCTATATCCAAACAGTTTGACTTTTCTTGATTTAATATGACTATGTCCAGGAATGTATATAAAACTTTTTTGCTGTATCCTTTATCCTGGTTACTAAACTTATTATAGCTCCTGAGTCCTACATCCTCTCTGCAAATAGTAGAGTAGGACTCTGGAGCTAATATAGGTTTGGTAACCAGGCTATGTATCCTTACCTGGGGTACATTTGTATACCCTAATTCATTCTCTTGGCCTGGACATCAGAGACCTATCCAGTATGACAGATATAGGTCTCTGTTTTCTAGTCCAAAGTCCTGAAGTTCAGGAATGCCAAGAGAATGAATTAGGGTAGACAAATGTACCCTAGGTAAGGATACTAGTACATAGCCTGGTTACCAAACCTATTTTAGGCCACAGCAAGTAAATTTTATGGATGACATCCTCCGCAGACTCCAAATCTAATGCGAGCGGGCAAAAAAAAAACAAGGCAGGCCAAAAAAAACAAGGGTACTACATTTGAAAATTTTGACTCAATCATTATACAAATGGTATATACACAGCCAGCATCACATATCACTGCATGAAAGTAAGAAGCAAAACATTAAATCAGAGTCTTTTCTCGTCTCCACTCTTCATAGTTATCTGCCATCCACCTTCCGGCATGGCAGACATCTTTGCCCATTTTCGGCATGTTAACCACTGTCAGAAGGCAAAAAAATTTGTTTTTTTTTCCCAAATCAGGCGAAAATCAATGCGCGCGCTGATGTCATCCATAAAAATTACTTGCTGTGGTCTTAGCTCCGGAGTCCTTTTACATCCTTTCTGCAAATAAATGCATGTAGGACTCGGGAGTTAATATAGGTTTGGTAACCAGGCTATGTATCCTTGCCTTACCTAGGGTACATTTGTATACCCCAATTCATTCTCTTGGCATTCCTGAACTTCAGGACTTTGGACTAGAAAACAGAGACCTATATCTGTCATACTGGATAGGTCTCTGATCATGCCCAGGCCAAGAGAATGAATTAGGGTATACAAATGTACCTCAGGTAAGGATATATAGCCTGGTTACCAAACCTATATTAACTCCCGAGTCCTACATCCTCTCTACTATTTGCAGAGAGGATGAAGGACTTGGGAGTTTGGCAACCAGGCTAAAGGATACAGCAAAAGTTTTATATACATTCAGGGACATAGTCATATTATAATCAGCAAAAGTCAGAAACTGTGTGGGTATAGATCTGTAGGCTTTATCTATTTATGAAAATTTACTAGCCTCTACCAGGCACCGCGGATCGCTGGAAAAATAGTAGAATTCGGCCGAAATAAAGGGATAGTATACCAGAGAAGATCCAGGGCCATAGAAGCTCCAATTTGCGACCCACGGATTGGAGCTTCTATGGCCCTGGATCTTCTCTGGTATACTATCCCTTTATTTTGGCCGAATTCTACTACCATGTATTTTTCCAGTGATCCGCGGTGCCTGGTAGAGGCTAAAAATTTACCACATTAGTGGAAGGATTGACATAACAGGTGACTATCTCCTCTTCAAGATGTCAAACCTGAGACCGGACTGCACTGACCAGACTATAAAGTTTGAACCACTCACACCGGGAAGGTCCCCTATTCTTTTCGATAAGTGTGTTGGGTTCTTTAATGTACCTGGGGTGTGGCTCTCCCAAACACGGGACCTCCATTTAACGTCCTATCCAAGGGACGTCCCTAACCAAAACTCATTCACACCTGAGGAAAGTGAGGAAAGTCATGTAAAGTGCCTTTTCCCAAGGGCACAAGATCGGTGGCATCGGGCAGGATTCAAACCCTTGACCACTTGAGTGTGAGCCGAACACGCTACCGCTTCACGACTTTACAGTTTGAACTTATCAGTCAGTAAATCCTCTTGGAGATCTCAAACCTCTGCAGAGATATGTCTCACTTACACTCACTCACTGCGCGACTTAACGTCCGTTGTTCCCCGTCGTGGAAGGGTTGGACGTCGTGGGGTGTCGTTTAGGCCGTTTAGGTCTAATAGCTGCTCTCCAGCTGCCTCTGTCTAGCGGGTTGGCCTTCTGCAGTTTTAAGCTTTTGATGTCTTCCCTAATACTGTCTACCCAATTCTTCTTTGGGCGACCACGCGGGTTCAGGCCCTCTACGGGCATTGTCATGACCTTCCTTGGTCAGTTCTGCGGGTCCATCCTTTGTACGTGCCCATACCAGCGAAGTCTGTTGTAGCGCAAGGTCTATCGTAGGCTGCTTACGCCTAACCTACACCTAAGCTGTTCACTTGACACTCTATCAGCCAGTCTACTGGAACATATCCATCTAATCATGGCGTTGTCACACCTGACTAACCCTCTAATGTCTTCCGAGGACACCGCCCAAATCTCAGACGCATAAAGCATTACGCTTCTAACGCAGGAGTTAAACCAACCGACGAATTTAAAGTTCAACAGGTGCTTCAAAAAGCACTCTCTAGTGGATGTATAATGAATGTATAGAAAACTATTTGCTGTATTCTAACCTGGAAATGAAATGGTAACTAAGTTTCATGATTTTTTTTCATATTTTTAAAACCTTTATTGAACAACTGGAATCAGTTTAAAAGAAATACCACACAATCAAAGTCTGATATTTACATAGGATTTACAGGAACAATTGTAGTTCTACAGAAATTCAAGTAAATAAATAATTCTACGATCCTATGACATTTTTGCAATGGTGCATGAAAATCGTTCAAGATAAAAAATTCCTAGCCACAAATTGATTATTAGGATTAAAGGATGAATGAAGGATTAAAATTGCAAAGACTTCAACTTTAAACACTGCAAGTTATGATCATTCATGTATGGTACAAACATATCTGTAACAGGTGTTAAATGGTGGGCAGGTTAGGAATGTTGATGGGTGTGCATGAGTCCAGACACAGGTGTTCCAGGTGCTTTAACATCGTCTTCACACCATCCAGGCCGGCCTGTGTCAGCTGCCTACACTGGGACAGGTTCAGGAACGTCAGGTGCTTCAGGTGCCGGCCGATGTGGTGTAGACTCACGTCTGTGATCTTACACCCCTCCAAGTCTAACCTCTCCAGCTGTGTTAGTTTCTCAGCCAGGTGCTTGACGGATGCGTCTGTGATCCTGTAACACCACGATAGTTTCAGGACCTTCAGCGCCGCGGCGTGACAGATGTCCGTGACGTCGGGGTCCGACACGCGGCTGCAGCAGCTCAGGTCGACGGCGCGGAGGTTCCGAAAGGCCCCAGGTTCTAACGACTTGAACCAGCGCGGCGGGATCTCGCAGTTCCTGGCCTCCAGGGTGACCAGTGATTCGGGCAGGTCAGAGAGGCTGATGGAGGTGAGGTCAGCGGTGGTGATGCAGAAGTGCTGCAGGGAGGGAGATCTGGACTTCAGCTCCAGGAGCAGTGGGGTGGACACTATCTCTCCTGTCTTCCCACTGTCAGGGCACAGCATCAACATTGTGGTTAGATTTGATACTCACTATAAACAGTGGTAGAAAATACTAGAAATCCTTTTTTCAGTGTTCTACAATATTGCAGAATGCCAAAATTTTGTACTGCAATTTGAAAATACTTTCTGCAAATACACACTTTAAAGTCCAGATTTAAACCCATAGCATATATAAAATTGCATACTTTACATTTCACATGCAATTTGAAAAATACACGCAAAATTACTTGAATGTATATTATAGAGTCAGTGGTAAACACACCATTGATCCCGTTGACTGATTTTTCAGTCTGCAAAATTGCAGGTTGCTTAATTTTTCTTCTGCAACATTGAAAAAGTCTCTGCAAAATGCAGACTGCAGATGGGTATTTGCAACACTCACTATAAGCATGGTCTGGACAAGAACCGTTTACAAGTTAGTGGCTTTCATCTTTGACCTTGTACATGTGTAGTTTAACCATGGACAGACTTAATAGGGACACAAATTTTTCAAGTCGCAACCATATTTTTTTCTGAAAAAATCTGAGAAACAACAAATTAAATTGGTGTGGCCTAAAGTCTAAAAAAAAGAAAAAAAGGTAATTCCTACCTTAACCGACCCTACCTTTTTCAGGACTGAAACAGGAAACAGGGCTTACCTGTGCAGGTGACCGGCCAGAGTGAGTGATGTGAGGGAAGGAGTGAAGAACTGTCGGACGATCCTCCACATGGCGCGTCCATCCAGCCGCCGGCTGTACGGGGACAGGTCCACTCGCTTCCACAGGGGACGCTCGTACGCTAGCCGCTTCCACCTCTTACACACCCTGCAACAGAGTGTCCACAGAAACAACAATGTAAAAGTGATTTGTTGCTGCGGTTGTTACCCCACCTTTATTTTCAAACTGTTGTTACTGCCCAATGTCACAATTTGACATATATATGCATATTGGCAACATGCCCGTAGCCAGGGGGGGTTCGGGGGGTTCAGAAGAACCCCCCCACAAGGCTCAAAGGTCCACTTTTTGGTCCACTTTTTATGTAAAGGTCCACTTTTTGGTCCACTTTTTATGTAAAGGTCCACTTTTTGGTCCACTTTTTATGTAAAGGTCCAAGATTTTTCTTGAAAAGATGGACTGGAATCGTAGAAAAACTGCTCCCTTTGTCATTGAATAAAAATTTATCTCTGATTTTTTCTTGGAAATCCTCTCAAAAATGCACGAAATGCCATTTTATAAGGTTCATTTTTCAAAATTTTCCGGGGGAGCATGCCCCCGGACCCCCTTAGGAACCTCGCGCCTGCGGCGCTCGCCTCGCGCCTGCGGCGCTCGAGGTCCCCTCAAGCAGTAGGAAGAACCCCCCCATTCAAAATCCTGGCTACGGGCATGGGCAATACACCAAACAAATGCACATCTAACTGTAAACATTGTTTGAAGCTACCAAGTGATGATACCTCTACTCTACTTGGTGGCAGTGAGATCCACTCTACTCAGTTCTTGGAAAAATGATTTTTTTAACACCTCAAATTATCCTTGGTTGATAACCCTGGTACATTTGTACTTGAAGACATGCATGAATATTATTGGTATTCTGTAACGGTGGGGGATTTCTGAGCCGGTATTAGGCACTTAGTTGTTGGTATATCCACCAGTTTATTAGTCATTAGTTAGCAGATTTTCTTTAGAATATGAATACGTTATCCATACCGAACGTAAAGGATGCTTTGGACAGCACTTCCGGGTTCTTGAACGTTTTTGAACTACTAGTACATGCCCAAGCATGCCAAACACACAACCGATATAAGGACACAAGTAAAACTGTTAGAACTTAGAACGAACATGCAGGGGAACGTAGCCGCTATACCTTGCCGCCCGGAGTAGATCTCTGATCCGTAAATAGGAGAAAATCTCCGTCAGAATGTTGTCTGGGAGGAGAAACTCACTCTCAGCGTCAGCCGTCGCCATGTTGTAATGCAGATCAAACCATTCGCAATATAGGGGCGATTTTCGTTTATTTCGCCGCGCAGGAGGAAATATAAAAATTGTATGATATCCTGACGTGTTAGAGAAAAAAATGAAATGATAAGAGTATTCTAATTGAAGCAACGTAGATCATTTTCCGATCAAAGATTATTTAGATAAACCGTACCCAGTTTGGAGGAGCCCATCCTAGATTTTAGAATGATCCAAAAGTCAAAGTTCATTTGAGAATGTGGGCGTGTGCCTGTGACGTTGTTATCTTTATGATAAGCACACCTGTATGGAAAATTGAAATTTTGCCATCGCAGCACAAAAGTTAACGAGCGTTTCGATGTACTCAAAGAATAATATACACTTTCTGTGATACAGACATTCCATGGTCGAGTGACAAGGTTAGAAAATGATGATTATGTAACTGAGTCCACAAAACAGTTCGACCAAGGATATAACTTAACGTTACATCTCCTCGGTATAATGTTTCCGAATAAGGCCATGTTGATGTGATTATATGGATGACATCCTGCGAGCGTGCGAATAAAAAAAAGTTTGGCAAAAAAAATTGCCTTCATTTGAACAAATGACTTAACACACAGAATATGGTATGACGAATAATAGAATCTTTAGTTTCATTTATTCTTTTTTTCTTTTTTTGGAATTGATTTTGGCATTCTAAGACATTTGCAACTAACGTTCTCCAATATATATCTATTTTTTTGCAATCCTCGGTGTACATTTGCTAATTTTGCAGTTGCTTTGTACGATTTACAGTATGGTCGGAAAACTTTTTTTTTTTTGGAAACGGACAAAAATTCATGCGCGCGTGGACGTCATCCATATAATTAAATCAACATGGCCTATAGCTAATATATATTTTTTGCACAATATAAAATGTCAACAGGCATGCACATTGAACCTTTTGACATGCCGTCGTCACGTGTCAGTCAGTTCGCCAAGACGAGTGTTTCACGCGCCTAGACCGTGCCATTTTTACCCACGCGTCTAGTCTGTCTATCGCGGCAGTTTCAGCGAAGCAAACCCAAATAAAAAAAGCATTAACGTTATATATCTGTAAATTAGAAGAAAAGAAAACGTTGAAATGCTGGGTCTAATATGCCTAATATAAAAAAAAACTCGGTATGGGTGTCCATGTACAACACTTATTGTCATATGTGTATTTCGCAATCGAACTGTGCTGTGCGCGATGACAACAAAAATTGTAAAATTGCCTACGGGTATGGAGTTTTCTCAGTCTATTTTCGTGTTTAATTCATCATTTATATGAACCAAAGGAGTAGAAAGGATAATTGAACAGAGTAAAGCTGAGAATGTTTTTTATGATTATGAGTGGCCCTACTGTTCAAAGCATGAAAACAGTATGTAGCAAATTTGCAACAAAAAGTGATAGTGCAAATGATAGAACTTAGAACGAATTTTCACATTTTTACACATCTCATCTGTGAACATCTCATCTACGAAAGGTGAACGGTATTTGGAGAGAAAAGGGATCGGAGTAAGGCTTACCAATCATGAAAGATCAGAGCCCAGAAATCGTTCATCTATTCGATGTCTTCAATGCGAAAACACCATGGCATAAACAATATAATGGTCAGTTCTCAGTAGGCTCAGATGACATCCAGAAATCGTACCCTCTCCAGTGCATCTTGCCCTAGGCTATCGTATCAGCCAATCAGTGATCAGGGTGTGTTACCTGAGCTCATGTCTGTGTGACTGTCTGCACTGTCAATGACTTTGACCAAATGCCACTACACGTGATAGTCACCTGTTATGTCAATGCCGTCCACAAATGCGGTAAATCTTCACAAGTAAATAAATAAATACTAGTAAATACTAGCCTACTAAAGCTAAACAGACTGTTGAACGCGTAGACACCCTCACACACACACATTTCAACATAGGAGCGGTCTCATAAGTAATTAACCCATTGACATATTTGTACAAGTAACGTTAACGTTACATATTTACCGTCTACAAGGATCTACAAGGTGAGAACCCATTTGTTCTTGAAAAATTATTTCGATTTGTTTGGCTGTAAGAAGACAATTTGAACAGCCAGGGCTGCCCTGCTGGCAAGACAAACATTACACGTACATTACAACATTCATTGAATACATCAACGTGGAGAGGTCAGGGTCACACACCTAAGGCTAATAGGAGGCACCTAGAGCCCCATAGCTTCCTTTTGAAAGTAGAGTCTTATCGAGGAATTAATGTAAGTTTTCTCCTCGCTCCCCCACTTTGTTCAGCGCCTTATATAAAACGTGTTTACGTTTATGAGGCACTCGCGATCGGTGATATCCAGTTAGATCCAGTTACAGCAGGTCGCGACAGATTGCTACATTCGGACAGGGGCGTACGTGCAAACTGTCTGGTATAAACATTAACACAGGTCAACGATCTGAATGACGCTCGTCAGGACGAAAAGTAATAAATTCAATCACCAAGCAGATGTTTGGGAGGTGTATCGTTATGTATTCTGATAGCCGCACCATGGAATCAAACATGGACTCCATGGCCGCACTCAGTTTCGGCATGCGTAGAGCAGTTGCAATATATGGCTGTCGGAGACTTCACGATCTCCCACCCAAACATTTGCATTGAGACTATAAACACAAGTGGTCGACCACTGTTTGTTTTTTTAATATCAGGCTGCGCTCACCTGTTATCATTACAATGCATGTGCTGGGTCTCAGGCGACAGGGCAGTAGGGAACCCTAGCTATTGAAGTAATAATTGCAGGCCGACTACTCTCCAAGCAGAGGTTGTGGGGAAATGATCGTTAGCTTTTTATATATGGCCGTTTTTTTTTGTCGCTACCCCCACCAACCGCTACCCCGTCGGTGGCCGCGGAGCTTCTCTGGCTAATGGATACAGCCTGGCCAATTTGATACTGTCTTTTTGCTTGGAGACCGACAACGCGTGAACGCGACTGCTGCAGTCATCATTGGCCCTGTGTAAAGTAGGTGTTGGTACGCACATTGTCTTCCAGCAGGATCTATGACATCTATGATATCTGTGTAGGCCGCGAATAGGTCTCTCGCAATGAGAGCTATGTTGTGTTGTTTTTTATTAATTGCTGCAGTACTGATAATGATTAATAGAGGTCGCTTTTGATCCACGCAACGGGAGCTAGGATCCGAGATCCTCATAGTGCGTGTCACTTGTTCTGGCTCTCCTTCGTAAGTTGTGGCATGACGCCATACTTTTGACAGTTCCTGTTGCATCCAAAAGTTGCTCTTATCCCAAACACGCTCTGAAGCACTTCCTGGATATCCCAAACACGTCGCAAGCAGGACTGCACGTCCCGGATATCCCGGATGTGCTTCATTCGGAGCACATCTGGGATAAGCGGGGGTGTTTATCCAGGACGTGCACTTGGGGGAGGAGCTTCCTGTTTTAGGAGGCGGAGACTGTCTCACATGTGATTTTCGTGGTCAGAAGGCCGCCATTTTGTTCTCCCCGCGCGAGGTTCGTGTAAAATCAATAAATTAGCTGCTGATTCTTTTTTTACAAATCTAACCAAAGAAAAAGACACTTGTATGTGCACAGCTCACATATGTAACTGTCCTAGAATGTTTATTGGGTTATGATTCAACAAATGCAAGACACAATGGGTTCTGTTTGTAACGTGCCGAGTGTCACAATAAGAGCACATTCTGGATACGTACTTGCGTTATCCAGAAGTCGTCTCAGACCAAAAGAGCACATTCTGGATACGTACTCGCTCTATCCAGAAGTCGTCACAGGCCAAAAGAGTAGCCTGGATACGTGACCGCTCTATCCAGAAGTCGTCACACTAAGAGAACACTCCGGATACGCACTTGCTCTATCCAGAAGTCGTCACACTAAGAGCACATTCTGGATTATGCACTTGCTCTATCCAAGGAGGTTTATCTGATAAAACCTCCTTGCTCTATCCAAAAGTCGTCACACTAGTAAGAGCACATTCTGGATACGCACTTGCTCTATCCAGAAGTCTAGCGTGTTCCAACCAAATATGGAAAACTGGGCGTGAAAATGACTGTTTGCGGTCCTGTCAATCATGTTGATTGACTGCACCATAGTACCAATCAGCGCACGTGGCTGCACCGGAAGAAGCACATTTGGGATATCCCAAAGTGTCGCCGATTGGCGACAAGGCTGGATAGAGCATGTTCTGGATACGTCAGTTCCCTGTGTTTTTAATGTGTCAACTTAGCACTCTGCACTGTTTCACACAATTTTGAATCAGGGAAAGACAAATTATCCAGAGACATGTCGGCACTTTGCAGGCCTTTGGACTTTTTCCACCCATAAGTAAGATTTATCATTTAAAAAAAACGATACATAATACAATACTGTACAATAATATTGTATATTTAACGTTACAAGTAACAACGGAGAATTGATCGATCAACTTAGTTTCAAACTTTTACCCTGATGCATTGTGGGCCAGTAGTAGCGTTGACCTCTCCAAGGCCAGGTCAGCGCGAAAATGGAGTCAATGTATGTTTTTCAAGGTTTATATACCTCTTTGCGGAGAAATCTGTTTTGAAAGATGTAAAATTTGAGCTACAAGGGTCACTCGGTGAATCTTGGGCGTGAACATCCGTTTTTGAGGAGATTCAATTTTTGCGCCCTCATTATTACGTTCGTGACGTCATAACAACATGGCGCGGCTGAAAGGAAAATGAGGAAGAGGCCCTACCCTTCCTGAATTAAAGTCCTTTCTACCGGGCTTCTCTCCAGTTTGAGGTGAAAATCTTCCACGCTGTCCCTTCAAGAGGAAATAGGGGGCCGCCACGATGGAAAATGTTCCGATTCGGGACAGGTAAGTGCTGGTGATAAGCTCAGAAAATGTGTGTTTTGTTGTCAACATTTGCATTTTTAGCGGGTGCCTAGTTGGCACTTTCGATACTTTTGTTTATTTAATGAAGGCCGCTGCATAAGAAGCATCGAGCCAACACTATGACAAAAACAAGAGGGCACTGACCGTAAAATATTATCAAGCCATGGGGCACAGATTTGGAAAAAAAAATGAAATAGCGATGGACAGAAAGCAGCTGAAGGAAAGTGGGGAACTGGACATCACGCATTTTTGACTTGCAGACGTTTTATGGCAATTTTTTTCTTGATGTCTGATCTTAATAACAAATAATGGCTAAGATGTTTAGCGAGTCGTTGCTATGGCAGGGATGCCTGGCTGATAATTCAGCCCAAAAGTAGCAAAGTCTGAGGCATATAGACAGAAAACTCGCCAGTATGCCAGCACTATTTGAACAAGTGAAACCAGCTGGTTGGTGTTTAGGTCGAATGGGGGAGGGGGGCGAAGACATTTTTGCTGGTAAAATCATGTACGTGGTGACCATTTTCCTTCCTTCTGTGCGTTATTTTTCATCAAAGGGACATTACAGCCAGTGTGTCAAGAAGGTGGTTTTATCTTATAAGTACACAAGTATGCTTCGTCTGTTTTACAACATTTATATTAATTATTATAATAAAATTATAACCTGAGTAATTTTGGTACCACTCACTTGGTCTGAACTCCATGGATGTAGGATACTATTTGAGCCTTGATAAATTTGACTATTACACTTAAAAATCTAAGTTAATGTCAATACTATTTACTGATTTAGGATGCTGTTAAGACTATTCCTTATTGAATGAATATAAACTTCCTTTCTAGATAAAGTGGAAGTTCCTGGTAGTGCTGCATACCGGTTTGCTGGACTTGTAAAAATGTTTAGGTTCAAGTCCAAAAAAAACCTAAAAGTCAAGAACCGATTACGGACTTGTTAAAAAAAACATGTCACATACCCCTTTTCTTTTCAAACCACCTATAACCTTCCATAGATTGCAAAATCTGTGATGCAAAATGAAGAAAACATTGCCATCGGGCATCATCAAGTCAGAATTTAAAAGTACCGGCCTCCATGTTGTGTGGCCATGTAGTTTTGCCCAAACAACATTGCAAGGTTCGCCAACGTGCAATTTTGTATACTATATGCCATGGGTTTAGGTCCAGACTTACGAGTCCGGAACTGAACCTAAACCTCTGGACTGGAATCTGGACCTGAACCTAAATGTGGGTTTAGGTACACAGCACTTACTAGTTCCTGGTCCTATGTTAACATTTCTGTTCAGCCGTTCTTATGTATTAGGTTATGGTAAGGCAGAAGAGGGTAGGCAGAAACCATTTCTGACATGGCTCTACACATTTTTTGGTAACAAACCTGTCCTGCATCAGTGTATGTTTGGTAGGATTCTGATTAATCTGAAGTCCAGTTATTTGTGCCAGACAAATACTAGTATACTGCTCAGGGCCCAGTATGGCATTTGGTAATTTTTGGCTGGAATGCAGACAGAGACAATGTGATTTTGAGAGTCTCAAACCCCCCCCCCAATGGGTTCCATACTCCCATCTTTGTGTCTTTTGCAGGTATAATCTAAATGCACTCTATAGCTACAAAAAAAAACACAGAAACCTGGATTAAAGGCATCCAATGCGATTTTGGGGCAGCAAAACTGAAAATATTCTGAATAGGGCAATCTTTGTGATATTGACACACAATATCACACATCGGCACATTTGTATCAGCATTTCATACTTAGGGCATTTAAAACTGCAGAATCAAGCCCCAAGATGAGTTCTTTATTTTCTAGGTGGTACCCTAAAAATCAGTCTAGGGCCCTTCCAGTAACCATTTTCTGTCGGAATTTTGGGAATTTTTGCTCCTTGAGGTTCAATATACACTGGGACAGTGTGGTTTAAATTCAGTATGTAGATAAATGGCTAGAATATTGACTTTGATTTGTTTGTTTGAAAAATCGGGTTTCGAAGGCATAAAAACTGCACTGGAAAATGCATCTCGAGTTAAGTCCAAATGTAAACTTGGATCAATGTGATAGTTGAGAAATAATGAAATATTCTGCCTAATTCTTGTAAATTCTATTGTAACCCCCATGTGTCCATTGTGTTCCTATTTGTACAGTTTATAAACAATGACATCATAATGGAGCTAATTGACTGATTGTGTTATCATTTGTGTGAGAATGGGTAGTGTAATCTCCAAGCAGATGTGATGAGGAGACCATTGAAAGATCAGGCTTATTTATATTGAACCAGATTATAAGTTAGCATGTGCTATTGCAAGATGAAACAACTTTTTACAAGGAATCTACATGCCATTTTGCCCTTTCAAGCTTGAAGTACCAAACCTTTTTATCTATAGTAATCAACGTGTATAACAGCATCTCTGCATAGCACCACTGTTTCACATACATGTGATGGTGGCTTGATAAATAAAGTCCAGTTGGCCCATGAGGATTAGGGTTAGACCTAATGATGACTTTATTTTTTTTAAAGTAACCTTCAGCCTGCTAATGTAGCCATTTGGCATCAAATACACATGTTTAGCCTCTACCAGGCTCCGCGGATCGCTGGAAAAATAGTAGCAATTTGCCGAAATAAAGGGATAGTATACCAGAGAAGATCCAGCCGGCCATAGAAGCTCCAATTTGCGACCCACGGAGCCTGTGCGGAGTCGCAAGCTTCTTTGAAGTTCACTAATCGTTATCTAATAGGTGCAAAGTTGTATCTAATAGGTGGGAAGTGGTTAAGTACCCCTTTTATTGCTCTCCGACTCGTCCGTGACGGACCTGACACGAGCGGCCATGTGACAGGAAGTGTGAGAGGTCACGAAGTTTTGAAGTTATAACGGTCTTGTCTCCTCTTTTTCCTGACGTTCTGTGGCTCTTTCCGTATTTTGGAGGTTATAACAATCCTCTATCGTAGTGTTATTTTTTGTCCACAGCCGTACTTTTTGTGGCAGTTTTTTTGTTTTACTTGTAAGATAAACAGTTATATAAACAGTCATCTGTCCTAAGTCAAAGTTTTCTGTGCGGATTTCTGTCTGCTGCCGATGGCAGTCCGGGAACGAGTTGGCCGTGTGGCGAAGGACGTTTTTGGTTACGAAACTTTGCGGCAGGGTCAGGAGGACGCCGTGTTGGGGATTTTAGATGGGCACGACGTCTTCGTTGGATTGCCGACGAGGGCCGGCAAAACATTCTGCTTTCAGGCCATACCGTCGTGCTTCAGGACATTTTATCAACAGCAAGAAAAAGCCTCGGTCTTATGTCAGAAATAAACACAGATAATAGGAACATTATATGAAAAAATATAATTTTCGTCCATTTTGCTGTCACTCTCTATTTGACCTTTGTCCCAGACACAGCCACTTCCCTGCACACACACCCGGCTGAGTTCCCGCTGGGCGCTGGCGGGTTTATGACTTAAATGATCTTCAGCGCTGATCAAGTTTCTTTCTACGAATAATAGGGGGATTAATTTGATATCGTTTGAAGCTTGCGACTCCGCACAGGCTCCGTGGGTCGCAAATTGGAGCTTCTATGGCCGGCTGGATCTTCTCTGGTATACTATCCCTTTATTTCGGCCAATTGCTACTATTTTTCCAGCGATCCGCGGAGCCTGGTAGAGGCTAACACATGTTGGTTATGGGACTATAGACAGCAGGAAGAAGGCTAAGGTTGACAAGAACTGCTTCAAAAAAATTTTTTTTGGTGCATCATATAAGATAAGTAGAATGTCAGAAAAAAACAAGGTGGTTAAAAAGAAAAAATAAAACTAATCATCATCAAGTAAGAATATGCTACATATACTTCTATACATTTAACATCTTTACACATGTGCACCCACAGAAAAAATTAGGTGTACAGCTCCAAATTTAGTGCACATGAACCCAGTACATATCTGTTGGTATGGGAAACCAAGTGTTGGCAAAGTGCAAATGTATATCCTAGTACTAGTAGTTGCCTTTGATAAAAAAAAAAGCATGAAAGTGGATATTAAATGCAAAAGTATAGAGATAGACATTCCAGAGAGATATGTCATTGAGGCAAAAGTGTAGACAAGATGTTTGTTAACCCCAGAAATAAAATACCTGTACTAGTATGTTTTTTTTTCCTTTATTAAAACATTTAGGAGCAAAGTGGACAGGATGACGACACACTCAAGCCGAAGCTTATGTTCATGTCGCCATCTGACATTACAAAAATACAAAAGCAAATGCAAAAACAGACATGCAAAGCTTAATAATAACAGAATAGAATAAATAAGGTTACAATGTGTAAAGTGCTCCAGGCAAAACTTACAAAATTGATAGGAAAGAATTACTCAAATCTTTTAGTTTCCTTTATAAATGATTGAACATAAAGTAAAAATTTTAAGTTATTTGGATATGATAGTGATACAGAACCTCTAAGGAATAAATGAACTAAAACATCATCAGAGAGATCATTGAGGTTTATGTCAAATCCTACCAACTTAGCTAAATTGCTAATAAGGGAGGCACGATATTGTGTATATTTAGGGCAGTACAAAAAATAATGCTGGATACTTTCAATGGGATGGCCACAGGTACATGCAGGACTGGTTGCCAGACAACGTGTGTACAAATTTGAGTTTAAATTATAAGTGCCCAGACGAAGACGAGTGAGAAGAGCGCAAGTGTACCGAGGTGTACTAGTATGTTCATCACATAGTAAAAGTTTATTTTGTTAGATTGTTCATTTCATGCCTCACCAAAAGTATACCTTTCATGAACCAGTAAATGTCTTTTTGTATAAAAAAAATATATCAGTCTAAAGTCTGGAACAAATTTCTTATCCAAGTATGTTCCCAAGTTACATTGAATAGATGTTGAGACATGACTGTGCATGTGATTTGTAACATCAAATATTAATGAAAAAATGAAGTCTAAAAACAGAGGTTACAATAGGGTGTGTTCAAGGCTTTTTGCAATGAAAAACTGATCCTTAGGCCACACCAAGTTAATTTGTTGGTTCTCGGATTCGCCTCTTCGTTTTTTTCTGATTTGCAAAAAAAAAAAAAAATGATTCTTTTCCTGAATCAAGTGAAAAATGCTCATGTTTTGCCCCCCAACAGTTGAGGAAAGTCCTTTTCTTCCTAGTTGTTACAGTTTTCTCATCTATCATTGCAGTGGTTTGATTAAAAGTTCAAAATTCAATGTTTAAATTTTAACCCAGCCTTTTGTGTTGACTTCATGGCTCATTTCGTACCATTTAAGCCTATAATAGGATGCCTAGACCTGTTTTTATTTTATTTTTTTTCGCCCTGTCGCTTCATATTTTTTCTGAAAAAATCCGAGAACCAACAATTAAATTGGTGTGGCCTTATATTTGGGTGTAATAAGAATTTAGTGCAGAGTCATGATAATGTTGAAGATGATAAAATTTGTACCATAAAAATGCGGTCCTTGGGTAAGAAATCAAAGGCTCCATAAGAAAATACCATCTTTGTTGTGCCGATATTGGGTAGATGCTTACGTGTCCATGTATTTACTAGTATGTTGTTTACGGAAGTTCAAAGGAATGATTCAGTTGATTGTCTGAATACTTGAAGACTGAGTAACTCTTGGCTTGTTTTTTCCCAATGAAAACATGTGAAATGTAATTCAGCTGTTTAATATTTAGTATTACACTGGGCTCTGTGTGTGTGGGGGATGTTTTTTCCGAAGCTAGACTTAAGGAGGGATGGATAATGCAAGTAAACATGTAAGTATGTGGCGTCGTGTGGTGTAGTGGTACATCACTGGACTATGAAACGGGGAGACCCGGGTTCGATTCCAGGTCGTACCCGAACAAGTCCGAACATGCGCCCCGATGTTGTACCCTTGGGAAAGGTACTTTACACGAATTTCCTCACTTCACTCAGGTGAAAATGAGTACAGGTTAGGGACGTCCCTCGGATAGGACGTTAAATGTAGGTCCCGTGTTTGGGAGAGACACACCCCACGCATGTTAAAGAACCCACCGCACTTATCGAAAAGAATAGGGGACCTTCCCGGTGTGAGTGGTTCAAACCTTACAGTCTTGTCTCGGGGTTGGCATCTTTGAAAAGGTGATAGTCACCTGTTATGTCAATCCTTCCACAAATGTGGTAAATCTTCATAAATAAATAAATAAGTTAGCATTTCCACTCTGTTTTGGTCCATACTCTGAGACTCTAAATTGTGGTAGGCCTGGTGCTATAGTGTTACGTACATGTAGTGTAATTCATCAAAAAGGAATCAACTCTTTATAACATACATGTACATGTACTAGTATTACCATCTATGAAAATGTCTGACCATATCATTATGCAATCACCACATGTTTTGTACCTGTGTATGGTGTGTATTCTGTCAAAAATCATAAGAAGGAAGAATTTTGAGAGAATTGTGATATAAACCTCTACAGCAAGATCACAGAAATGCCACAGTCAGGGCTGAGTACTCAGAATATTAGTACATTTCTACTCAGCTCTGACTGTAGCATTTTCTGTGATCTTGCCAATGCAACAATTCTCAGCATTGATTCAATGTCACAAAGATAAAAGTACATGTCTGGACTAATGTACCTAAACCTCTGTAGTCTGTATCTGTTCCTAATGTTACTGTTTTTATTTTAGCTGGTGTGTTACGCCGAAGGGCGGTTATAATAAATGTTTTTTTTATTGTCCAAACAGTACCCGTGCAGTCGCAGCCTTTATATGGCTGAATTGATGCAGGGTATCACATAATAATCAATACGAATCACAACAATTACAACAATCAAATAATACACATGTTACACATATTTGTTCCACAATAATTTTTTGTGGAACTGTCGCAAGGGTCTGTGCGGCTGCCATTCGGCGCCACAAGGTGACCTCAATACGACTTTCCCCAACCGAAGTTAGGTACCCATTCACACCTGGCTGGAGTGAGGAAAGTCGTGTTAAGTGCCTTTCGCAAGGGCACAACGTCGGGGCGCATGCGCATGTTCAGACATGTACCGGCGGGTACGACTCGGAATCAAACCCGGGTCTCCCCGGTTCATAGTCGATTGCTCTAACCACTACACCACCCGACGCCACCGGCTATATACCGGCTATACAGATACAGATACTGATACAGGTATTTCATTGCCATTGGAAATGATGACCCAGAGATGGTGATTTTTCCTGTGTTGTACAGGGTGACTGCAGAAGAGCGGTTTGAGTCTGCCCAAGTCTGCCTGAGTCAAGGGGAGGTGGAGGAGGCACACAGATTATTACAGGAGGTACTTACAATGCTGAAATGCTCAAATTTGTATGTAGAAGTTATAAACTCTGTAATCAGATTTCCAGGCTGTAGCTGGCATACAGTTAGCCAGAAATGCCATGTAGTTTACTTGAAAGGCGTTATATTATGTTGAGTGTTGAGCTTAATTGTATTACAGAATTCAGCTTATTTGTGTCATTTCAAGGTCCGAAGACTGCTCTAAGACTTGATTCTACATTGCTGATAACCGAAATTCATGAATCATTGCTTTTTAAGAAATAAGAGATTTAGATATCAATATGTTAGCTAATGTACTGTGAAGGTGGAGATAAATAACCATTATTTCCAATCTTAGGCCACACCAATTTAATTTCTTGGTTAACGGATTTTTCTAGAAAAATAATGGAGCGGGCGGGCGAAAAAAAAAAAAATAAAAACAGGCCTAGGCATCGTATTATGGCCCAAAATGGTACGATAAGAGCCATGAAGTCAACACACCAGGCTGGTTCAAAATTTAAACAATGAATTTTGAACTTTTAATGATACTACTGCATTGAAAGATGGAATGACTGTAACAGGTAGTAAGAAAAGGACTGTTTTCAACTGTTCAGGGCAAAATATGAGCATTTTGTAGTTGATTCTGAATTTTTATTTTATTTGCAAATCAGAAAAAAATGAAGCAGCAAATCCGTTAACCAAGAAATTAAATTGGTGTGGCCTTAGTGCTGCAAGTGATCTGATCAATCCTTAAATTAATGTTTTTGTCCCTACCCAGGCTGTGAGACTGGACCCGTCCAACATCGTGTACAAGGACAGTCTACAGGAGGTGGTACGCCTGCGGGACCAGCAGCACAGTGTGTATAACGACCCCGCCACCACCACCTTCAGCTTCTTCCACCACGGCGGGCCTGGCGACGCGTCCGGCTGCCAGGGGGCCGGCTCCGACGAGGACGGACCACTCAAACTCTTCAACATCTGGTCCAGCTGGTCGGGATTCGGCTCGCCGTTCGGCTTCAACCTGCCGTGTCAGAGCCCTCCCCCCGACGCCAGCCCGCATCTCCCTTCCCAGCCTGCACCTGGCACCCCTCAGCAGCCTTCCCATGATGCCCCGCAAGCAGCCGCCCAGGACCAGAAGTCCCAGGGTCGCAAGTCGGAGGACTTTGACTTCGACATCCAGTATCGACCCAAAACCAAGAAGGGAGAGAAGGATACTACATCCGGCTATGCTACAGATGCTAAGGCGTTCAACCTCCAAGACGCTGCCAGAGAGGGAGAAAAGATGTACAAGGATGCGTTCACGTCTTGGAAGGCCAAGCCGCACACTCCCGAGCCCGCGGACAAGAAGGCGAACGCAGCAAAGCCTAAAGTAGCTGCCGACCACTTAGAGTCGCTGGGCGCGAGTAGGGTGGTTCCCAACGTGAGGTACTCTGACATCGCCAGCAAGCCGCCCAAACCTGCAGCACCAGAACCCAAGCACAGCCAACCACGGACCGCTAACACAACCAGTACCAAACCAACAGGCAAGAAGGCACAGAAGAAACAACGGGTCTACAATGTAGACCTGAACAAGGTAAACAGAATTAACCGTGTTGAAATGTGTTGAAACTTGTTTTTGGTATAGCTTAACCTTCTCCCTTCCAAAGCAGCCTTTTGGTACAAAATCAGCCTAGTGTAAAGACCAAAGCAGCCTTTTGGTTTAAGTATTAGGCCATGTTGATTTGATTATATGGATGACATCCTCTGGGAACCCCAAAACTGATGCGCGCGTGCGAATAAAAAAAAAAGTTTTGCAAAAAAAAAAAGTTGCTTTCACTATGAAATCTACGTGGTCATGAAGGTTGAACAAATGGCACATAATATGTTATGGCGAATAATCTACTCTTCGAATTCATTTCTTTACATTTTTGTCTTTTTTCCTTTGATTTTGGCATTCTACGACATTGGTATCGTTTCTAAATGTTTTCCTTGCAACTTATGGTATATTTTTGCTCATTTAGCAAATGTTTTTGCACGATCAACTGTCCCGAAGTGAGGATGAACTTTCCCAACCTGTTTTTCAGAAGTATTGTATGACTTTTGTATGACAAAAATAGGAAATTTGAGTGGACTTTTCCGGAGCCAAAAGCCAGGATGTGTGCCTGGTGAACAAAAGAAGGGCTGACATTCTGTGGGTGATTATTTTTCTATTGTCCCCAAAATGTCCCAAAGTGTCTTTATAGTTGTCCTGGCCAAACTTTTAGTGGTCAGAGGCCATCGGGACGCCGTTAATTTCGAGCCCTGTCTAAACTACCCTGTACATATTGTCACCTATAATGTCAGTGTACAAAATACTTTATTGAATCAGGCTGCCTATCAGAATTTTAGGTTGCCCCACCTATAAGTTACTACTTTCCTCAAATTAAGTTATGTTACATACATAAGCCTTTGACAATATTTCTAACAGCCTTTAGTTAACAGATACTAGTAATAGCCATTAATACCTAAAATTAAAAAGCATCTGCTGGATACAGTGGTGCAAGCCAATTAGTGGACAAATATATATAATTTTTTTGGGGGGGGGATTCTTAAAATTCAGGTAGCACACTGGGCTACCTAGGTTCAAAAATAGGTTGCCCCAAGTAAAATTTGGTTGCCCGGGGCAACTGGGCAACCAGGTATTTTGCATGCTGAATGTCTAACATTTCTCTCTCTTCTGACCACGTTTGTAGCAGGAAGTCAAGCCAGACTCTAAGTACGGCCTGGACAGTTTTGACCCGAGCAGTGAGTCCACCATGCACCGTGCTGAGTCCATGCAGTCTGTCGCCTCTACCTCCTCCAACAGCAGTGACCGTGTGGCGTCTGCCACTGACCGCTCTCATGTCAGCAACGGCCGCGTCCAGACCAGGACATTCAGCATGGACTCTGATGACCACACAGAAGGTAACTGTACAGCTTGTCTGTTACATAGACTTAGAATCTAAAGGTTATGGGTTCGAATCCCTGGTATACTACTGTAACAATGTTGTGGCCTTGGGAAAAGCACATTATTATAATTACACCTATTCCCTTACTCAACTCAGGTGAAACTGAGTACCTATATCCAGGCCTGGAAATTCATTTTTCGAAATAGGTGCACTGGTGCACCCAAAAAGAATTTGGTTCTTTTTGGGTGCACCATATAAGATCAAATAAGTAGTATGTTAGCAAAAGCTAGTTATCTTTCATTTCTCAAGAAAAGTACTAGAGCAATGATTTTATTAGTTTCCTGACACTTTGACTTCTTTACATACGTAAACCTACTGTTAACAACTTTACATAGGTAAACCTGCAAAAAGATTTGTGTCTACTGGTGCACCCACAGAAAAAAAATTGGATGCACAGCTCCAAATTTGGGTGCACAAAGGTGCACATGCACCCAGTGTAACTCGGGTTAAGGACATTCTCTCGGAGTCGGATAAGACATAGAGCTGAAGGTTCCAGATGAAATTGTTAAGATGATAATACCATTAACTCAACCGACAATGTAACATGTATAACAATTGTTCTCTGTATTATTCCTTTAATAGACAAGGCTTTCATGTCTTACACTTCTCTCACTCCCTACTTATTCATCTTTGTATGGGGTCTTGTGGCGTAATGACAGAGCGTTTGGCACAGAACCAAGAGGTTCCAGGCCCGAACCCTGCCATGTCACCGATCTTGTGCCCTTGTAAAAGGCACTTTACATGAGACAATGGAGGCCTGACAAACCCCATCTCGTATTAGCCACAAAAAAAGGCAGCAGAATCTTCAGCTAGTTGAAGGCGGCTGCCTCTAAAAGAAAGAAGATGAAAATCGTTTAACATTCTGTCATACCTTCTTTACTGTGGCCACAGATGCTGACCCTGTGCGGAAGGCTGACCACAGCCCCGCCCTTCCAGCCAAGACCACCGCCACCGGCGGGAAGTCAGGGTCAGAGGGTGACCGGCCCTCCCAGCGGGGCGGTCACTCCTCCAGGACACGCCACGCCGTGGACGAACTGTACTGCAGCGGGGACCTGGGAACAGGTAAGGAAGCAGGGGTTTGTTTATTTGTTTGTTTTATTTAGATGTCCATTATTAGGGATACACTGCTCTGAAGTAAGGTGTGAGCGTGGAACCAAAGCTTTGAAGATTTGATACATTTAAGAGTTTTTGTGAGTATCGTGTTCTGTTGATCATTGTGAATTCCTTGCTGATTCTGTCTATACAATTTTCACGGGCTTCCACAAGGCAACAGTCATGCACACAGTAAGAAATTGAAGAAGGAAATGAGATAACCCTTTCTGGCTGGGTCCTTTGACCTAACTTCCTGTCAGTGTGCATGATGTGTCTAGCATATTGAAATTACATTACGTACTACATAAACACAAGCAAACAGACACACCAGGGCTCAAAATACTGGGTGCATATGCACCTTAGTTCACCCAGTTTTCTTCTGTGGGTATACCAGTACACTCACATATTTTGTAGGTTTACATACACATGATACAGTATGTAAAGATGTTAAAAGTATAGTAGTATACAGCATATTCTTAACATTCAATTGTCATAAAAATGATAAAATCATTGTTATAGTACTTTTCTTTTGAAATGAAATTTTAGTTTTTGCTGACATTCTAGTTATTTTATTTTACTTGGTGCACCCCAAAAATTTTTTGTGCACCCAATGTTTTAGGTTTGGTGCACCAGTGCACCTATTCCCAAAATGAATTTTGACTGAATTTGAGCCCTGCACACTGAAAACAAAACATTATATAGGGGCTCTTCACATTGTTGATGTAATGTATTTGCCTGCCTCTTTGTCCTCCCGCAGGTCGTCAGGACACAGAGTTACAGAACGGGTTTGCCCGTCTGTACCAGGAGGAGGAGGAGGAGGGGGAGGAGGAGGAGGAGCACAGGACCAGGGGGAGGCACAGGAGCTCGGCCCGACACACCGACGGGGGGCCGCCCAAGAGGAGGTCCAAGAAACAGAGAAAGGGAGCAAGCAAAAAAGGTGGGTGGGATATCCTGTTTAAGGTTAAAACTCCTGTTCCAGCACAACAGATTGTTCTCACCTCAAGCTCTCAATGAGTCACTCTGATCTTCTTCAATAGATTGACATAAGGTGCTTTAGGTGCTTTCTTTCCTCCATTAGCAAACCTACAAGTACAAACAGACAAGTATGTAGCTAGTCTTCCTGGAGTTAGACATACATCATACAAACTACATCAAAATTGAAACATTATGTACATACAGCTTAACACATAAATTTATAAGAGTAACTGGTCAAAAGCATTATTATGGTTACAGGACGAATGTTAAATAGCAAAATGAAATTCTTTGTGCTTTGTACCAGCCATAAATGTTTCCTTTTTTTTCATATCTCTTTTTATTATTCAGTTTTCAAATATTCAACAAAAAGAAAACCATGGCATCCTGCATACAAAATAAGCAACACAAGAAAACTAAAACATGAAGTTATATACAAATGTTTCTTCAGCATGAAAGTTCATCTGAGTTGGTAAATTACATTATGAAAAACTTAAACTGTTCTCCAACTCAAAATTTGACTCACCAGAAATTTTCGACTGAATCACTCAGTCTTCCTCAGCTATCTGACCCAAATGCTGTGGACACGTGATTTTTCCCACGTGTGACGTCAGCAAAGGGTCAAAGGTTGTCTGAAGTCGATATCGCCCCCCGTCCCGGTTGAGCGATGGTTGAAGTGCCCTGATGTATATGGCCTCTTTTATGCCTCTCTTGAAGTAATCCTGAACAGAAAATTTCTGGTGAGTCAAATTTTGAGTTGGAGAACAGTTTAAGTTTTTCATAATACAAATGTTTCTGTTGTACTTGTGGCAGGCGGACTGTGGCACTCCAACAACAAGGCAGTGATGATGGCACGGGAAGTCATGCTGGGCTTCTGGTTCCTCCTGCTGGACTTCTCCACCTGGACCTACCAGAGCGTGGCCATGGCCGCCGAGCGCTCCACGCCCTTCCTGTACCAGGGCATCACCGCGCTGGGCATGCTCCTCATCGTCTTCAGCGATTGGCTGAGAGAGATCGCCTCCAAGGCCTGGGATTGGTTCTTGGAGCGGCTGTTCCGGGGCGTGGAGTGGACGAACCAGCGGTCGGCGCGCCTGTGGGAGTGGCTGAAGACGAGAGCGCCCGTGTCCAGAGTAGAGGCGGGAAACCTGGCGAACAAGGCCGTGAGCTTGGCGAAACAAGTCCTGTACGGAGCCGTGTCACTAGTGGTGTTTCTACTGGTACTAACCTACCTGCTAGTCAAACAGATCCTGTTATGGTGAGTGCCCACATTTACAACATTCCTAAAGTACTAGTTTAAGGAAAGATTGAAGAGTCACACTAATGAAGTCATTTGTTTTTTAGACTTGTGAAAGTGGAATTGTGAGGAGAACACCCTCTTGAAACTATGTCTGAAGACTATTAGTGGCTTAGTATCCAGATTTTAAACAGATCCATTGGCATGAAATACCATATTTATGTTTACCAAAGGAAAACATATTGTTTTTGCTACGTTTCTTCTTCCGTTCCAAACACTCACCTCTGACCTGGTCAATGACCAGACTGTCTCTCACCATGGTAACTGGTGTTGGGTTACATCATGTTGCAATTTTATAGTATGAGGGATTTAGACTCCTGTCATCATACATGTGAATGCGTTTGAGTAAGAACTACCAGAGCAGACCGTATGCGAAGGTAAACATTATGCATTTCCTTTGCAAATCTTACCTTTCTAGTTCACTTTGTCTTCATGGTAGCAAATTTTCATATGTGATAAACACTGTGATTTAGTTATATACCATGTGCCATGTACAGGGCATACAGAGGAGTCTGCTATGTGATAAACACTGTGATTTAGTATGTTGTACCATGTGCCATGTACAGGGCATACAGAGGAGTCTGCTATGTGATAAATGCTGTGATTTAGTATGTTGTACCATGTGCCATGTACAGGGCATACAGAGGAGTCTGCTATGTGATAAATGCTGTGATGAGGAGGGACAGAAAAGGCAGGAGTCAGCTGGAGACAGAAGGGCTGGAGGAGAACATAGAACTGCCCGCCACTGGTAAGGCATTATTTTACAGTTAGTCAGAACAAGAAATCAAAGATCTCATACCTCCATGAGTTTTTGTTAGCCTGTGTTTACACAAGCTCTCGACCGGGGGTTGGCCAGTAGCCAGGAGCGCAATTTATTCAAGCTGGAGTTTTTGTGCACTTTTAGTTTTCTTCATTTCTTTCATAATTAAAGTAAGAAATGGGCATATAGCTGGAAATGAGATAACCTTTTCTGGGCCCTTTCTTGGACCTTTGACCTAACTGCTTTCACTTATTTGAATTTCTACATGCTAGGCATGTCTTGAACCTGCCTAGCAAGTACAGAAGCACAAGCACACACAGACACACCAAAAACAAAACCTCCATACACGGAGGTAATCATAGACTAGCTCTGTTCTCTTTGTGATTTCTTCATATGGAAAGTTTGCTTCCAGAAAAAACTCTAAGACTTGGTATATTAAAATGATGAAGAAATGCTGTTATTTTTCTTGTTACTTAGGTGAAGAGGCAGTAAGAAGATTGCTGTCCATGAAAGACAGGGACCCATGGAGGTAGGTACTTAGACAAGCCCTAAACAAAGATCTTTTGTTCCATTTCTTCATCGTATTTGAAAAGGAAATGAATTCATATCTGACTTTGCATTGTTTTGAGTATCACATAAACCAAGACCTCAGTGCAGTGAACATGTTAGTCCTGAACAAGAACAAACATTAACAAACATGGCTTCATCCAAAACAAGCAACGACTAACACAAAGTAGATGTATCACAGTTTGTTTTGTAGCTGGTTTGCAACATTAATTACTTTTCCCTTGCACCAAATGTTGTAGATTTCAAATAAGGACAGTTAAACACTTTACTAGCTAGGCTGGTGTTTACATCTCAACATATGATATATTGCAAAAAAACCTAAAAACCTTTTTCCTCTGAACGTGAAGCTGGTTGTGATAGAGGGACTGTAAAAGGTGAAGTTGTTGATAGCTTGTCAGGCCTCGAAATTAACTTTTCTTCCTATTGTCCCAGCACTGTCCCAAAAATAAATTTCAATTGTCCCAAAGTGAGAATGAACTGTCCCAACCTGTTTTTGTGGGAAGTAGTGTATGACTTCAACTTGAAGTCAACTATATTTCGCTTATGTTCACTCCCAGGTGCACTATAATTACAGAGTAGACGAAATTCGGGGGTACTTTTCCATATCCAAAAGCCTGGACGTGTGTCTTATAAAACAAAAGAAGGGCTGACATTCTGATGTTGATTATTTTCTATTGTCCCCAAAATGTCCCAAAGTGTCTTTTTAGTTGTCCCAGCCTAAATTTTAGTGGTCAGTGGCCATTGGACCACCTTTAATTTCGAGCCCTGTTGTTGTACCTCCCTGTGCAGTATCCTGGGTGTTAGGAGGGACGCCTGTGCTGATGATGTCAAGAAGTACTACAGGAGACAGGCTGTCCTAGTGCACCCAGACAAGGTAATATTACAATTGTAACTTTTCTTCTTAATTTCTTCAACATATCTTGGGCCACCAGAAAGAAGTTGTATAAGTGATGATGTAAAAGTGGTGTTGTGTGTATTGTACTATGTGCAGCCAAGGGCTGAATTGTGAGGAGCTTACAATTCTTGGGATCTGGAGCAGCTGCCATTCGGTGCTAACTCAGGTAACTTCAATACGACCCCAAGAGTGCAAGGTTTGAACCACTCACACCGGGAAGGACCCCTACTCTTTTAGATAAGTATGGTGGGTTCTTTAACGTGTGTGGAGTGTTCCTCTCCCAAACTTTAATGTCCTGTCCGAGGGACATCCCTAACCAAAGCTGGGTACTCATTTCCACCTGATTGAAGTGATGAAAGTCCTGTAAAGTGCCTTTCTCAAGGGCACAAGATTGGTGACATCGGGCAGGATTCGAATGCTGGAATCCTACCCGTTCTGTGTGGTGTAATGGTAGGACATTTGGCTCAGAAGTCTTGGGGTCAAATTCATCCACCTACATGCCCTGATGTTGTGCCCTTAGGAAAGGCACTTTACACAACTTTGACATTGATAATCAGGATTTTTTTCTTCTTTTTTCTTTTTTTTAGAACCAGTTGCCAGGTGCAGAAGAGGCCTTCAAGATCCTGGGCCATGCCTTTGAGGTGCTTGCCGATCCGGTAAGACTCAATAATAAATATTCATCTTCATATGTGTCTGGACAAGGAATATTGTACATTTTGTATCCACAAAACAGCTGCGTTTTCAATGTATGGAAGCTGGAAGTCAACTGATATTCACAATAGTTATATTTCAGTCCATACCATGGTATGGATGAAATATATTGTGTTCTCTCATGTTTCTTCTCCTTCTCCTCCTCCTGCCAAACAGTCAAAGGGATTCAACTCCGCCATCATTCAGCCAAATGACTTGAAATTTGGCATGGAGGTAGAGTGGGCCAATACCCCCAGGTCGTTTTTTTTTCATTTTTTTGATTACATGCCTTTGAAAAATTTTTATGAAGGTTTTTTGGGGCATTTTTTGCCAAAAAATGGATTTTTGGATCCTGAGCCCTGGTTTTACAACCAAATGATCTGAAATTCGGTATAAGGGTACCTTGAACATGTGTCTACAGAATAGCAGTCGCATATTTGGCATACACCACTTCCAAATGACTCATTTGGGGGACTTTAATGGCTATTTTCAGCAAAAAAAAGGGCCAAAAGTGCTATACCCGTTCCATGTTCTATCTAAAGAATGGCACGTTCCATCTGCCATTGGCCATGGAACACATGTTCCATTGCGGGTTACCTGGGGTCACATTGCACGTAAGTCGTGCGTAATGACCCACACATTCAGTTTTATGTGCCTAAGACCTTCAAAATGTATCAAATCTCATCATTGTTAGTAATTGCATACCTGTAATAAGATTAGTAAAGCTTTCGAGATGTTCTCAATTACATAGCTACTATATAATTCATTTATTTGAGAATCTTTGCCAGTTTTACACTGGGGTAAGTTTGGAATAGTCCACTTTTGTGTGGGAGGGAGATGGACTGAAATATGCTGTATTTGCTCCTAAGCAAATGTCGGCCTCTCTAGTTTGTTCTAGAATCTTGTTTGGGCAGATTTTGCTATTTATTCCTAAAGCATTGCAGTTGTGATTCTTGTTGGGCATCAATTTGAATAACATTTGCTTGTATTTTCTTCAACCCACTTCCCTATCATTTACATATTTGTACATCTGCCCACTTTGAGAATTATTTGTTACAACTACCATTTTGGTGGAGAATGAATATTTACTATGTTCCCTTTGTTTCAGATGAAGCGGAGAGAGTACATCCAACAGAAGTCCAACAAGACTAAGGTGGATGAAGCCATGGTGAGTCCATATTTTGGAGATGTTTAAAGTTAAAACTTGGAGATGTTTGAATGCAGGCTGATTTTACTGTTGAGTGAAATTTCGTCTGGTAAAACAGGCTTCAGTTTTGTTGTAAAACCTCAAGATAAAGGTTAAAAACTGTAACTGTACACAGTATTTGAATGGGATTCCAGATATATTTGTGTTCATGTCCACTTTTCCTGAGCGCCTTTTTATCCCTGCAGGAGGAGTTCTTTGGCCAGCTGGAGGAACTGCGTCAGAGGCTGCAGGAGGTGGGTGTGGTCTGTTGCCATGGAGATGAAGAACACTTAGTCAAACTGAGTCAAAAGATATCTGTCTGTACCGTGCCATTTCAACAGCAGTTTTATTCATGCATTTTTCAACACAGTATCTATACTTATTTTGGCCTAATACTCTTCTTAATATTTAATAATTAATGCAAGTTATTTTGAGGTTGAGGTATTTTGAAGTATTGACTTTTTTGTGTCCAAACTATGTGCCTGCCTTTTCCTTCTGTCATAAGGCAGAAACATACCTTGTGACAGAAGTATCATCTCATAGTCAGTTCACTCTATGTGAACTCTATCCCTGTAGGCTATCTACACCATGCGCTGTGACCGCTGTGGTGAGAAGCACCGGCGTGTGCCCATGGACCGGCCCTGGTACGCCGCACGTTTCTGTACACGCTGCAACACGCACCACTGCGCCAACGAGGTAAAAAAGATACTCCTTAACAGGGTTTGAAATTCATTTTGGGGATATTTGGGTGCACCAATAAGTAGCAAAAACTGATTTCATTTCTAAAGAAAAGTACTATAAAAATAACAGTGATTTTATTATTTTTCTAACACAAAGTTGTTAAGAATATGCTGTATACATAATGTACTACTACATGTATACATTTTAAAAAAATTAGGTGCACAGCTCCAAATTTGGGTGCACTAAGGTGCGCATGCACCCAGTATTTCGAGACCTGCTTAACAAATCAACGACCTTCAATAAACCTTTGCCTTTTCCTGAATGGTGCTACCTCTAGTAAGCTCCAAAGTACTGTAAATTGAGGAATGTTCATGGTTGTACATGTACTTGAAGTTGCATCAAATGGCTCGATTGGATCAATTAAATGGATCAATTAAACATTGTGAACATCTGTAGTAGAGTTGTGTACCTAAACAAATTTTAGGTACAAGTACAGGTACACGGGTATAGGTACAGGTCTGGACCTGAAAATGTACCTGAACAATTGAACAAATTTTTATGTTCTTCTGAACTCCTTGCATAACGACAGAAACATGAATAAACTTAAGTTGAGTGTAAGTTTTTGTTTGTGGAGAATTCTTACACAAAACATAGGCAAAACTAAGATGTTTTAGTTTTCATCTCCTACCCTGCAACACAAAGCTGACCTAAGGCCACACCAATTTAATTTGTTGGTTCTCGGATTTTTTCAGAAAAAATATGAAGCGACAGGGCGAAAAAATAAAAAAAATAAAAACAGGTCTAGGCATCCCATTATAGGCTTAAATGCTACGGAATGAGCCATGAAGTCAACACAAAAGGCTGGGTTAAAATTTAAACATTGAATTTTGAACTTTTAATCAAACCACTGCAATGATAGATGGGAAAACTGTAACAACTAGGAAGAAAAGGACTTTCCTCAACTGTTGGGGGCAAAATATGAGCATTTTTCAGTTGATTCAGGACCAGAATCAATTTTTTTTTTTTTTTGAAAATCAGAAAAAAACGAAGAGGCGAATCCGAGAAGCAACAAATTAAATTGGTGTGGCCTAAGTGACATAACTAATATGCAACAGGTCTTTCAGGGTAGTTAACACTGTCAGTGACTCAGTCTGTAAACAAAGAGCTGTCCTTACTTTGGGACACATGGGGGACCAGCTATTTACACATTTTAGGTCACAAATTGGCATATAATAGACCCATTCAACTTTCACGGATCGCATAAACTGCATACGTCACAGAACAAAATGACCTTAAATTGTACGGAATGCCACCATACAAAGTTGGTGCCTGTTTTCCTGCCATTCCCGCATATATTGCCGAGAAAATAGACACCTACCTTTTAGTAAAAAAAATGATCTGCCAGGGGGGACACCGCGAGCGCAAGCCGCGTTCGACTTCAACGTTCTGGAATGATGTTCTTTCGAATGTCCCCCCTATGACGTAAGCATGCGATCCGTGAAAGTCGAATGGGTCTATTAATGTGACATTATTTAGGTACAGTACCGGTACTGAGGGATTACTGAGGGATTACGTATTTTGGACCTGTACCTAATCAATTTTTACAGAATCGGTACAGAATCAGTACAGTGTACCGGTACATAGCTCTAATCTGTAGTGTTAAAATTAACTTAAATGGTGTTTAAAGTGTGGTGCTGATGTTGTACCCACAGGGTGACATCTGGGTGGAGACAACCATGATGGGCTTCAAGTGGCACTACTTTGCCGTGATGGACAGCGAGGTGTGTGACATCACTGAGTGGGCCAGGTGCCAGGTACGTACAGCTGTTTGTTACTTGGTACTCCAGGTTACCTGAAGGTCACTGGCACCTGAAAAACGTCTTGGACCTTCGTAAGAAGGTTCTTCATTCAACAACCAATGAGTTGTCATATCGGACATTTCGGTGACCGTCTGTCACCTTCTTCAGGGCAGCAGTTGGTCAAACGAAACATCATGTAAAAAAACGCTGGTTGTTGGATAGCAAACCTTCTTATACAGTCCCTTGCCAGCCTGATGAAATTATTATTGTTATTCAAAGTGGTGTCTGGGTGGTGTGGTGGTAGAGCATCCGACTGTCAAGCAAGGGGACCCAGGTGCAATCCCCAGGGTTGGACCCTGACATGTCCGGACATGCACCCAGACGTTGTGCCCTTGGGAAAGGCACTTTACACATTTCCCCACCTCAGTTAGAGGGATCCTGGGCCCCACTAGGGTTTGGATTGGCATTAGGAAGGGCATCCAGCTGTAAAAATCTTGCCTCAACAAAGACTTGCACTTCACATCTAACCCCCAGTTACAGGGGAAAAGATGTTAAACTGAATAGAGAGAGAGATATATTGATGTTTCTGTTTTCCCCCGTCCACAGACCGAGCTGCACAACCTCCAGCCCAACTCCCACTTCGTGCAGTGCCGCATCGACACCAAGGGCGCCCGCAGCGCCAAGAACTTCTTCAACCCCAACCGCCCACGCGAGGACGAGCTGGACGAGTTCCTCGCCAACCTCTTCTACGAGGCCATGAAGGAGGAGTCTCGGAGGGAGGGCGGGGCCGCCGCGCCCGGACACGCCCCGGGACACGCCCCGCCCCAATCACAGGACTTCACCGGTGCTCAACCCAAGAAGGGCGGCAAGCGGAGAAAGAAGAGACGATGATGGAACGACCGGTGCTAGGGCTGCCTTCATCACACCTGAGTTAGAATCTCTCTTGTAGGGGTCAAAGGGCAGGATAGATCTGGGATGACCTCATGAGGTGCCTATGACATCACCAGGGCGGCCTTGTGACATCACCAATTGCCTATGACATCACTCGGGTGACATCACTGACCATGTGACCCCAGAGCAATTGTAGACGGCAAGCAAATGTAGCGTTTGTAATCCAAGCCCAGCTTCCATTATAGACAAGTATTACATTATCCATGATTATTACCGATGTTGCCCTGAAAATATATATATCAGTTTTTTTTTTTACTACAAAGATCCGTGATATTCATCCAGATATTACTGCAGTGCGTTTGAAAAAGTTTCCATTGGGAAAAACAATGTGTTTTCTGCAAATTTTATGTATCAGCTGTTATTTACTGAGAGGGGACAACTTAAACTTGAGACTACTGAAGAAGCTGTCATTTTGCAAGATTTTCCATACAAGAAAAAGAACTTCCTTTCTGTATTCTATTGCTTTCTTTGCATTTCTTCGCACAATTTTTTGTCAGATTGTAGCCATGACATTGGAAAGACCCCACAGGGACACTGTGTGTCAAGTAGCAAGTACTTATGTAAGATTGTAGCAGTTGTCTCAAAACAGGACTGAACACAGTCGTAGCATTCTAAAGTGAATTGGATTTAGTTCCGTTGGTTCAGCTTGTGTCATCATTGTTGGTTCATGTGGCAGGGCTACCCTGATCAGATTTTGATAGACTGCTAGAAAACTATCAGAGGAAAAAGGTGGACAGCCATTTATCCATGACCATGTAATGACTTGAGTTACACATTACAAACATATACTTTGCAGGGTTAGAAACGGGTTGGTTAACTTGGAACCAGTAGTTTGTTATCGTTGGGATTTAGAAATTTATTCATATCCTATCTTTTCATCATGGCACACTATTCCAGATCTGTCTCTTGACATGCGTCAATCATTTTCAGACTTGTAGATTGGTCAGTGTAATTAAATGTATGACTTGTTTTATAAAAAGTATATCAGATCACAGCAAACCCTCCTATTATACTAGTTCTATTCATCCTGGGTTGCATTTGCTTAAACAAAGCCATCACAAAAAAATTATTAGATGTTTCTAAGTATTTCTTTTTTGTAGTTCGTGTATGTGGTATATTGTAAAGGGTAAAAGCTGGTATTGAAAAGATTACGATATTGGACATCACATAGCAAGAATTAGCAGAAAACTTGCTTCAACTCTGTTTGACTTGTACATTGAGTATCAGCCTCTGTGATGTCTACTTTTTCAAGTTGACTCTTGATTACTAGTATATGTTGCTTTAAGTGCCTTAAGGATTGGGACAGGTATAAACTACACTTAGGCTTTGTCACAACAACAACAAAAATAATCATCAAGCCAATCGACAACGATAACTTTCAGCATGAATTTGTACCTACTCCAAAACAAGCCCAACTTTTTTTTTTCTGGAATAGAATCTGTCCATGTTTAGCATGATTCTCAGAGATTCACTGAACAAAACAATAACACTTATTTGCTCTAAAGCCACAGAACTCTTTTGTATCACTCTTCCGTCTCAGAAGTGCAATTGATCTCATTTCCTAACTACTGCAGAGCAGTCTCTTTGTTATAGCACACAGTGATTCACACATGAAATACGCTGATGTGATTATATCATTCATAAGCTCCCTATACAATAATGAAGCATTTTTTTTTACATTCGACTGAAACATACATGTGACATAGGACCATGAAAAGTGATCTCTATCTTGACTCGGCATGGCGATTATAGAAATATACTGATATTGTCAATGCCTCCCCCCCCAAAAAAAAACAATGAAAGGATAGAGGTTTCGTAGCCTACAGGATGGTACAATGTTGGTAGCCTGTGTTGGGCGCTGTGCTGTTATGTCTCTGATGTGTGCCAAATCAGTGGATGTAATTTGAAACTTTCTGTTCGGTTGTTTCCGCTACTGTATTCCTGAAACTTGAGCTGACTGGTAACCACTAGTAATAAAGTCATTGAAGGAAAACATCGGCGTGTCTGTCATTACTGCTGATCGACATCTATGGACTATTCCACTCTTAAAATAATTTTTGAATCTTTTGTCCTGAACATGCTATGGTCTTGATTTTTTTGTGACAGATAGCTTATCCTGTAAGAAATAAGCGGTGTAAGTTTGTTCCCCCTAGCAGCTTGTTCTGGAACTGCAGGGGACCTTCAGGTGAAATCTTTAAAGGCCAATAAGTCCAGATAGGAACAACATATTTTCATCATTTCTGGTGTGTAGGCAGCTGAGAGAGAGTTGTACATAATTAAATGCAAATTATGCCAATGAGGGCTTAATTTGCATAATTTTGTGTTTTATATAATAGTACTTTCATATGTGTAATGTATGTAATTTATGGCAGATGGAACATCAAAAGATACCAATTATGCAAATGATGACCTACTAGTAATTTGCATAATTGATGAGAAAATTCTATAATTACAGTGTTTTATATAATAGTACTTTCATACGTGTAATGTATGTAATTTATGGCAGATGGAACATCAAAAGATGCAAATGATGACCTAATTTGCATAATTAATGGCAAAATTCTGTGGCTTCTTATTGGTGAATGATGGGAATTTTATACCTTGTGACGTGTAAGTTACTTAAAGGTTAACATCACTATGCCTATATTATGTTAATGTAGAGGTCATTTGCATAATTAATGAGGACGTGTTGAAATAAAGTATGACAAAGGAGAGGAATTTTACATTAAAAATATTGTAATTTGAATTTAGAAAACCATAAATTGAACTAGATTGTGCTAATTACGACCTTATTTCCATAGTCAATGAGACAAAAAACATTTACAACTTCTCATATATTTCATGGAGGTATGAAATCTCAGAATTCCTGTTTCTTCTTTTTTCTTTGAGGCTACACTGAGCACTTTTATATGGAGCGTTATCCACTTGCGGATTGACTTTGTCCTGTGTTCCCTCCTTCAAACCAAGCTTTTATCCAGAACAATAGATGTGTTTATACTTAGGCAGGTGAGAACATTCGATAGGTGGGGAACGTCATAAGTCTATTGTCACGGTGACGACTGAGAAACCCAAGTCGCAGGAGGAAGTAAAATATTCCAGTCTCAGAAGGAAGCAAACTTCGGCCGTCGGTACTGCAGACGCAGGTACCTCTGTCATTTCCCGTTTCATTTTATATCTCTGAAGATTACCTGTCCGAAGGTCCAGTCGAGTCCATGAGTGAAGAGAAAACCACGTACCACAGAGGTTTTATAAAGTGAGTGTCCGCTGAACCAAAAAGTTATCCAGAACAATACATAGGTTCACTTCGGTGATCGTGAGAACATTTGATAGGTGGGCATCGTAAGTGGTTTGACGACTAGAACAAACCTAAGTCGCAGCTGGCGGAAGTAAAATATTCCAGTCTCAGAAGGAAGTAAAATTCAGCGGTCGCTATTGCAGACGCAAGTGCCCGTTTCCCGTTTGATTTGATATCTCTAAGATTGCCTGTCAGAAGGTCTAGCCGAGCAAATGAGTGAAGAGAATTCGAAAGTACGCATCAGAAAAATGGCGCACGAGCACAGGAGCGAGCGGCTGTCCCTGTCGGCGGGGCTGGCCGTGTGCAGCTTGGCGGTAACCGTGGCCGTCCTGCTCGTGAGCTTCCTGCACAGCGGAGGCCAGGTTCGGCAAGACGACGTCGCCTCCCTGCGAGAGCGGCTTGCCTCGGTGGAGAAGGAGTTGGTGTACTGGAGAGAGAAGAGTCAGTCACTTCTGGAACGTGTGGCTGTGGTGGAGACTAAGATACAAGACGGATTCTGGTCGGAACATAGTTCCGTACTGGACACAGAGGTGGGCCTTAGAATGTGTTCTATCAAGAATAATATCCTCCTGGGTCTGTCAGTGTAACACATAAAACGAGGTCATAGTTCTAGACCAATGTCTTCTTTTGTGCAATATCTAAGCTTCTCGTAGTAGAGTGGTGGCAGCTGGCAAAATTGCCAGGACTTCGCGGGAAAAATAATGGTGGTCTGAATACTTAAAATCATAACTCACGGCTACGTTTGATGTTACTGCCGTGACATAGATTATAACAACCTTTTTTTTAATGTCATCTAAAGTTAAAGATTCCATGCATTGGATGAAAAAACATACACAAGCAAAGACGTCCTGAAAAAGTCTCCTGCAACAATTTGACTATTTATCTCACGGAAGGCTGACTCCCCGATGACGCCCGAGGGCCCGAAGAGTTCCGACAGCGGTTCGTCAGGAGTCAACAGTGACGCAGTCCGGGTGAGGTCAAAGAGGCAGGCTGTCGGCGCAAACACGGTCAGATTGCCAATTTCAGGTAGGGAATCTTTTTTCGTTGGGGGGGGGGGGTGCGGGGTCTATCACGGCGCGGTCACATTTGGCGTAGGTTGTCTTACAATGTTATGAGCTAGGATTAGTTTTCACACCTAGCTGAACCAAGGCAGAACCAACCATCGACAGGGATCAGTAAACCACTGCCTTTTCCGTATACGAAGCTAGACGTTGCAGAGCGAAAGCATGCATATGGCTTCAAAGAACGCCTGCAGTTTGTGATCCTACAGCACATGTGACCTTCCAAACTGTAAACCCCTTTGAATGTTTTTTTTTAATCGTATTGTCGGTCGTTTTCATGTGTTGATGTAAGTCACTAGGAATAAATCAATCTCCAAACAGATCTTTAGGTCACAAAGTCGTGACAATTCTTAGATTTAACCAGGTCAACCATGAGGAATATACATGTTTATGTATATTTTTACTTGACAGGATGTATGCAAGGTCCTCCTGGCCCCCTGGGCCTGTCGGACGGGACGGTCGGGACGGGGTACAGGGACCCCGGGCCTGGCTAGCTGTGGCTGTTATGGAGAGGGAGTGGCCGGTTGAGAACATATTGTTGATATCCGATACAAACTTTTAACACGAATTCTCTTAAAGTCGGAGTTTGGAAAATGATGCAAAATGTTTCATATTGACGCACACAGCGGCGTATAGCCGATTTGGAACATGGTCTTGCTGATGTGGAGAACAAGACTTCCCAGATAGAGACGCGCTTGGCGTCCTTCAACAACACAGCGGTGGGAAGTGCGACCAACCCGGCAGTGTCCTGCAAGTACATCAAGGACCATGTGGACGGAGCGGAAGGTAAGAATAGGATAATGTTTCGACAAGCATGTAGATATGGTTTACGTGTTGAATAAAAATTGTTTCTGTTGAAATATTGACTGTTAACCTCAGTAAAACAAGCCCATTTTCCCGCCCAGACGGACTGTACCACCTCCGCAGTCCGGGAGGGGTGGTGTACGAGACCTACTGCGACATGACGATTGGCGGTGGCGGGTGGACCCTGGTCTCTAGCGTGCATGAGGACGATATCTACGGCAAGTGTACCGCCGGGGACCGCTGGTCCTCCACCCGGGGAAGCACCACTAACTATCCCGAAGGGGACGGCAACTGGGCTAACCACAACACTTTCGGCTCGGTGCCGCTGGCGACCAACGACGACCTCAAGAACCCAGGTACGTCCACCAGAAATATACATAAAGTTTGACTTCAGAACATTTCTTAAGTATCTGATGGTAATCAGCCCGTGTGTCAGGCTACAGGTGTGAGTTTGTTGTCGGGACCAGTCTACAGGTTAGCCCCTCATGGCTAATATGTCCCCAAGGAAAATTTACCATAGACTCGCTCAGTTAGAACCTGAGTAAAGATGCGCACGATCTATTAATTATATAAACTGGTGTTGGCCTATGTATCGTCCTTGCAAAAGTCTGGTATCAAGGCTAAATGGCGACTGAAGCACATCCACATATTTGTTAACATCATATTTCCACATATGGACTGCCCCAGGTTACTTCAGTATCGAAGCCTCTGACGTAATGCTGTGGCACGTGCCCAATGACACGCCGCTGTCCCAGTACAAGTCTGCCGCCTTCCTGAGGTATTACACAACCAACGGCTTCCTACAGCAGTATGGCGGCAACATGTACTCTCTCTTCAAGGTCCGTGGTGAACTGTATGATGACAGTTACATTTTGAAGTTACTGACAGAATAGCTAGTTTAGATAACATCCGTTTCCACCATATAGCAGCACGTTGTGCGAAATCTGCATACTGCATACCAGTGTATGGTAGTCTTTGTCTTCAGTTTGTGGTCCTTGGGTATACAAAGTTCAGTGAACAATAATTGTTATGTTAGTAACTATTGGACGGCTGTTTCAGGACCATTTCCCGATTGTGTATAACGGTGGGACTACAGCTGACAATGGACCGGCTATTCCCATCACATGGGACAGAGGCAGTAATGGGCTGAGGACTTCACTCCTTGCTCCAAACACAGTTCCACGTACGTAACAAATGTACAGTTTGCATGTTTTGCCTTTTGGTTGCACAACCTGTGGGGGGAGGGGTGCATTGAAGGCGTATCAGGGAAGGTGGACAGAGTGCGATCTACGTGCGTACTTGCAATAAGATTCCCCCAAAACGGGCCGACCGCACCTAGAACCCCCCTCCCCACACAACCACCCACCAAAAGAAATGCCGACCGCTCCCGGAACGGCTGCAAAAGAGGCTACGATTCTGTCAGGCTACATAAGTATGGAATGATACTTGTACTTCGCAGTTTTTAGTCTTCTCCATGACAATCAATCAATCAATCAATCAATCAACTTTATTGCTCAACAACTGTAGCTGGTACAATGTATGGTAAAGACACAACAATGGTACATACACAAACTAATACTAAAATATAATTCTAACAATCTAGTCCGTGACGACACGAAATGCATTTTATGGACTATTCATGGACGACCGGATTCCGTATTGTTGAGTAGTGGTCTTGTAATCAGGTCAGACAGTCTCGCGAATAGACATTCGCAACATTAGTTTCTTAGTGCCACTTATTGCTGTTTCAGAGGTGACCCCAGGGTTTGTGCAGTTCCGTGTCTTCAACACAGAACGCGCTCCCCTCGCTGTGTGTCCTGGTGTGAGGTACAACGGCGGAGAGTCAGATGCCCTCTGCATCGGTGGTGCAGCTTACTGGCCACAAGCAGCCCCTCGGCAGTGTGGAGACTTCTCGGCCAAGGCCTGGGATGGATACGGAACCCACACCGGCTGGAGCAGCAGTAGGCTGGAACTGGAGTCAGCAGTTCTCTTCTTTTACCGATGAAAATAACTACTGCCGATAAAGTCAGCTTACATGCCTATATGATTGTCTGCGACAATAGTTGAGAATCTCTGGCTTGGACAAAATATCTTCTTCAAGAAACTTCATGTAATTTTCTGTTATGTGCCTTGTTATTGTAGGGAATGACATGCATTTCAAGTTTGTTATATCATTATGGTATGTGTTATGGGATATTGGGATATAAAGTTTGATATATCATTATGGTATGTGTTATGGGATATAAAGTAAGCTGAGCTGTAAAAAGTAGGACTTGAATGAGATAGGATGTTCCGATTAAAGCAATGTCCCAGTATACCCTGGATGGAGTAGATATTTGCAGAACAAAAGGGAAGAGTGATGAGTAGAGTGGAATAATTCCTCAGTTGATTGACCTCTTTTGAAAGTTTATCAGTGGATATAATTTGACAGTTTCCGTTAATTCCTTTACTGTACTTCTGAGTTGACTCGTAGCCACTAGTAATAAAGTCATTGAATGAAAACATGGCGTGTCTGTTATCAATATTACTGATGTTTGCAGGTGGTTGTTTGACCGTCTGATATATGGACTATTCCACTGTGTTAAAACGGGGGAGGGCGATTTTTTCTTTGAGGCTACACTAAGCACTTTTATATGGAGCGTTATCCACTTGCGGATTGACTTTGTCCTGTGTTCCCTCCTTCAAACCAAGCTTTTATCCAGATCGAACAATAGATGTGTTTACTTAGACAGCAGGTGAGAACATTGGATAGGTGGGGAACGTCATAAGTCTATTGTCACGGTGACAGCTGAAAAACCCAAGTGGCAGGAGGAAGTAAAATATTCCAGTTTCAAAACGAAGCAAACTTCGGTCGTCGGTACTGCAGACGCAGGTACATCTGTCATTTCCCGTTTCATTTTATATCTCTGAAGATTGCCTGTCCGAAGGTCCAGTCGAGTCCATGAGTGAAGAGAAAACCACGTACCACAGAGGTTTTATAAAGTGAGTGTCCGCTGAACCAAAAAGTTATCCAGAACAATACATAGGTTCACTTCGGTGAGAACATTTGATAGGTGGGCACAGTAAGTGGTTCGACGACTAGAACAAACCTAAGTTGCAGCTGGCGGAAGTAAAATATTCCAGTCTCAGAAGGAAGTGAAATTCAGCGGTCGCTATTGCAGCCGCAAGTGCCCGTTTCCCGTTTGATTTGATATCTCTAAGATTGCCTGTCAGAAGGTCTAGCCGAGCAAATGAGTGAAGAGAATTCGAAAGTACGCATCAGAAAAATGGCGCACGAGCACAGGAGCGAGCGGCTGTCCCTGTCGGCGGGGCTGGCCGTGTGCAGCTTGGCGGTAACCGTGGCCGTCCTGCTCGTGAGCTTCCTACACAGCGGAGGCCTGGTTCGGCAAGACGACGTCGCCTCCCTGCGCGAGCGGCTTGCCTCGGTGGAGAAGGAACTGTCCCACTGGAAGGAGAAGAGTCAAGATGAGTTGGTGTACTGGAGAGAGAAGAGCCAGTCACTTCTGGAACGTGTGACAGTGGTGGAGACTAAGATACAAGACGGACTCTGGTCGGAACACAGTTCCGTACTGGACACAGAGGTGGGTATTAGAATGTATTCTATCAAGAAGGATACCTCCTGGGTCTGTCAGTATAAGACCTAACGAGGCCATAGTTCTATAGTCGTCTGTTGTGCAATATCTAAATAATTTTCTAGGCTTCTCACACTGGGTAGATAGTGTCAGCTGGCAAAATTGCCACGACGTCACAAGCAAAAAGGTTTTCTGAATACTTACAAATTATCATAACTAACACGACTACGTCTTGTCTGATGTTGCTGCCGTGACACAGATCGATGAAAGCAAGCTTTTTAGATGTCATCCGAAGTCAAATATTCCATGCGTTGGACGAAAAACATACACATAGCAATGACATCATGAAAAATTCCCCTGCAACAAATTGACATATATATCTCACGGAAGGCTGACTCCCCGATGCCGCCCGAGGGCCCGAAGAGTTCCGACAGCGGTTCGTCAGGAGTCAACAGTGACGCAGTCCGGGTGAGGTCAAAGAGGCAGGCTGTCGGCGCAAACACGGTCAGACTGCCAATTTCAGGTAGGGAATGCTTTTTTTTGGGAGGGGGGAAGGTGGTTGCGGGGTCTATGACGGCGCGGTCACATTCAGGTTGCCGTACGATGTTATTATCTAGGAATAGTTTTCTCACCTGGACCACGTCAGAACCAACCATCGACAAGGATCAGTAAACCACTGCCTTTTCCGTATACGTAGCTAGACGTTGCAGAGCGAAAGCATGCATATGGCTTCAAAGAACGCCTGCAGTTTGTGATCCTACAGCGCATGTGACCTTCCAAACTGTAAACCCCTTTGAATGTTCTTTTTAATCGTATTGTCGATCGTTTTCATGTGTTGATGTAAGTCACTAGGAATAAATCAATCTCCAAAAACAGATCACAAAGTCGTGACAATTCTTAGATTTAACCAGGTCAACCATGAGGAATATACATGTTTATGTATATTTTTTACTTGACAGGGTGTATGCAAGGTCCTCCTGGTCCCCCTGGGCCTGTCGGACGGGACGGTCGGGACGGGGTACAGGGACCCCCGGGGCCTGCTAGCTGTGGCTGTTATGGAGAGGGAGTGCCGGTGAGAACATATTTGTTGATATCCGAAACAAACTTTTATAGACGAATTCTCTTAAAGTCGGAGTTTGGAAAATGATCCAAAATGTTTCACATTGACACACACAGCGGCGTATAGCCGATTTGGAAGATGGTCTTGATGCTGTGGAGAACAAGACTTCCCAGATAGAGACGCGCTTGGCGTCCTTCAACAACACAGCGGTGGGAAGCGCGACCAACCCGGCAGTGTCCTGCAAGCACATCAAGGACCATGTGGACGGAGCGGAAGGTAAGAATAGGATAATATTTTTTAATTAATGTTTCGACAAGCAAGTAGTTATGGTTTTCGTGTTGAATAAAAATTGTTTCTGTTGAAATATCGACTTTTAGCCTCAGTGAACAAGTGCATTTTCCTGCCCAGACGGACTGTACCACCTCCGCAGTCCGGGAGGGGTGGTGTACGAGACCTACTGCGACATGACGATTGGCGGTGGCGGATGGACCCTGGTCTCCAGCGTGCATGAGGACGATATCTACGGCAAGTGTACCGCCGGGGACCGCTGGTCCTCCACCCGGGGAAGCACCACTAACTATCCCGAAGGGGACGGCAACTGGGCTAACCACAACACTTTCGGCTCGGTGCCGCTGGCGACCAACGACGACCTCAAGAACCCAGGTACGTCCACCAGAAATATACATAAAGTTTGACTTCAGAACATTTCTTAAGTATCTGGTGGTAATCAGCCCGTGTGTCAGGCTCCGGGTGTGAGTTTGTTGTCAGGACCAGTCTACAGGTTAGCCCCTCGGCTAATATGTCCCCGGGCCATGGAGATAGAAAAAACCTCCATGATGTCCCCAAGGAAACTTTACCACAAACTTGCTCAGTTAGAACCTGAGTAAAGATGCGCACGATCTATTAATTATATAAACTGGTGTTGGCCTATGTATCGTTCTTGGAAAAGTCTGGTATCAAGGCAAAATGGCGATTGAAGCACATCCACATATTTGTTAATATCATATTTCCACATATGGACTACCCCAGGTTACTTCAGTATCGATGCCTCTGACGTAATGCTGTGGCACGTGCCCAATGACACTCCGCTGTCCCAGTACAAGTCTGCCGCCTACCTGAGGTATTACACAACCAACGGCTTCCTACAGCAGTATGGCGGCAACATGTACTCCCTCTTCAAGGTCCGTGCTGAACTCTATGAAGTTACTGACAGAATAGCTAGTTTATATAACATTCGTTTCCACCATATACCTGCACGCTGTGCGAAATCTGCACACTAGTGTATGGTTGTCTTTTTCTTCAGTTTGTGGTCTTTTGAGTATACAAAGTTCAGTGAACAATAATTGTTATGTTAGTAACTATTGGCGGCTGTTTCAGGACCATTTCCCGATTGTGTATAACGGTGGGACTACAGCTGACAATGGACCGGCTATTCCCATCACATGGGACAGAGGCAGTAATGGGCTAAGGACTTCACTCATTGCTCCAAACTCAGTTCCAGGTACATGCATACATGTTTTGCGTAACCTCTCGGTGGCTGGCTGGGGTTGGGGGTGTTGGCAGTCACAGGGATTTGTAACATTCGTATTGTAGTGATTGTCCGACCAAGGAGGCTGAAAATCTTAACCTTTTTGGCCCGACTTATTGCTTTTTCAGAGGTGACCCCAGGGTTTGTGCAGTTTCGTGTGTTCAACAATGAACGCGCTCCCCTCGCTGTGTGCCCAGGAGTGAGGCACAACGGTGGTAATTCAGAACATGTCTGCATCGGCGGTGCGGCGTACTGGCCAGAACAAGCCCCTCGGCAGTGTGGAGACTTCTCGAGTAAGGACTGGGATGGATACGGAACTCACACCGACCGGAGCAGCAGCAGGCTGGAACTGGAGTCAGCAGTTCTCTTCTTTTACCGCTAATGAAAAAGTACCATTAAGTAATCTCTCTAGTGATTACAAGAGATAATAGATTACGAGAGATAAATATAAAATATAGTTAGTGCGAATCTTTTGCTTAGACACATCATCTTCTAGAAACTGCATGTAATCTTTCAATTGTGCATGTCGGTGCAAATAACGTGCACATTGGTTTGTTATCATTATAGGATACGTTATGTTACTGTAGTACTTGTATTAGGTGTAGTAAATAGGTAGGTTATCTACAATTGACTTCTTCTGCTCCAGGTGTAATATATGTATTTTTGAAAAAACAATTAGTATTTTATGGTGTTCCAACAAAACAAACTGCTTTAATTCATTTTATGTTCACGGTAGCAAAATTTCATTGTCTGAGAAAAATGGACATATTCTCGGAACTATATATTCACGGTGGTGACAGGTGCAGGAAAAAGAAGTCCAGGAATGATTTGTTAACTGTAATGGTGAGTTCAGGGTACTGAAGTGACAGTGAAAAGTGAACATAAAAGTACCGTGAAAAAAAAATCAGGAATTACAGTATTTGTTGCACTAACAAAGCATGGTTGCAAAGTTGATCTGTTCTATACACCACCTCTGTTTAAGAACCACTGTTTGGTGGTATGGTCAGATTATTTTACCCATTGACCAAGGCATTAAGAATCCTGTCTGTAGATGCTACAGACTGCACTCACAAATAAGAAAACTGCAACAAATGATGTGAAGATCTATTTATTTCCATGGAATTCAAACATATCGAGCTGTTTTTGCCTGATGTTTCTGCTCAATTCCACTGTAGTGTGAAGTACAGTAACTGGAAATACAGATGTCACGGGTAGGTTCCAGCTACTGCCGTCCATCCCCAGGCCAGGGAGTGATCTAGGACTTGGACACGGCGGCCGCGGCGGCGCCCCTCTTGCGAGGCTTGGGCGTAGTCCCTTCACGGAAGCCATTGCTGTGAGGGAGATAAGGCACAAGTTTCAGAACAACTTAAAAATCCAAGAGTTACACAAAAAGTTACAAAGTTTCAAAGGTACAAGTCAAAAAAAAAAAACTTGAACGTCTGGAACTAGTTTCGGACCTACAAAAAAAATCATGTCACATTCCCCTTTTTGTTCTCCAATAGTAAAAAAATTAACAAGAAAACAGTACCATTGGGCATCGTCAAGTGTCGGTCTCCGTCAATTACGTGGCCACAGTTTTGCCCAGACATGCCCCGCAAACAACATATCTTGCTTCTAAACCCTGGTAGTGCAGTGCTCACTATAAAATTTTGCGGTAAAGATGCCCCCTTTTCCTTTGGGGAATGTTGACTGAGAAGTTCCTTCCATTTTTTTAATATGCCCTCCTGGGTTTTGGTCCATAAAGTCCAGACCTGAACCTTAAACTCTGGACTGAAATTTGGACCTGGACCTGAATGTGGGTTTAGGTACACAGCACTACTGACTGTATCTGTATCAGTATAGCCGGTATAACTGCCCTTCGGCGTAAGCCGCGTAACACACCAGCTAATATATGTATAGTCCTAAAAACAGTATGTCCGACTGGCCACTCCTAACAGCATCTTTTGTCACATGCAGAACAAATGAACAGCATAACGACTGATGGCCGTCACAAGAATGTAATTTTCATTTGTACAAGAGTTTGTCTAAGACGAGTATGAATCCTTGCCATGACTGGTGGTACTTACTCGAATCTACGCTGCACCTGCTTCAGATGGCGCATCCTGCCAGTCCCTGTCATCTTTCTCCTCTTGGCCTTCATGCTCCAGTTATCTGAGAAGAGACAATAGTTGGGTTATAATAAATTTTAACTATGATAAAGCACATGGCAGCTAGCCTTGTCTTGCTGTACCAATGAACATATCTCATAACAAATAGGATCACAACACAGAAAAGCTGAAACAAGCAAAGCCACAAAGTTGTGCACATCATAAGTCAGTATCAGACAATCAGGGTTTTTTCTAGAAAAAATTGGCATGAGGGAGCACTATCACGGCGAGGGAGCGTAGCGACCGAGGGGGGGTTGGTGCGGAAGGGGGGGGGCGATCCCCCCTTCCGCCATGTGAAGCCTTTGAAAATTTGAAGTTGAAATGGGACATTTTGAGGCTACTTGAGGGGGGGAAATTTGAACTCAATATACCTTTCCCAAATTTCCATTCATGCATTGCATATTTCACTTATAAAATATAAGTACAATCAACAGTACACACAATCTGCAAATCACCCTTTATACACTTACACAATTAGTAGTGATCAATGTTACTAGTAAATGTAGCTCCAGATGACAACATTGGGTTTGCCACAAGCTGAAACCTTTCCAATGGCACAACTGCAACACATTCATCCAAGCTGCTACAAACTCAGGTCTCATGTTTCACTTCAGAGCCTGTTCTATAGTATGCAAATGAAGGAGGTCTAGCTACATGTCTTTTTGTGCAAGTTCTCAATGAACGTTGTTTACTCCATTCAAACTTTTACTACTAGTACTAAAGCTAAATTCAAGTTTGTGGTAAGATTTTGGAATTTTTATGAGAGTAACATAGTTTGTAATGCTAGAATGTATTGTTATGTGGTGTTGTTTTTGTGTTTTTACTGGAAAAAGATGATTTTGAAAAAGGCTTAGGCTTCAATCTGAAAATTGATATGAGGGCGCTGGTTTGTTACATGAGGGCGCAGCGCCCTTGTTCCCCTGTTCAGAAAAACCCCTGGACAATGATTGAATCATACTTGATCAATATCAGAGAATCACATCAAAATCAATGCCCATTTCTTCTTGCTGTCACCAACATCAAGATGTGCTAACTGTATCATTTATTTTCACAATTTGCAAGAAATAGAGGTTTTCACATTGCTTTAAGTTCAGAGTATAAACAAAACTACTAGTATACCAGAAGAACACAAGTTGTTTTTTGTGACATAATGTTGCGGTGAGGAGGCACCAAGAAAACCATAAAAATAAAACCACTGAATATATTTTCATTCATTTAAAAATGTACTTACAGCTCCGCATTTTCTTGCTGGGGTATCCACAGCCGGCGCATCTCTTCTTCTGGATGTGGTAGGAGCTCTTACCACAACGTCTGCACAGAGAGTGCGTCTTCTGGTTCCGCTTACCGAAGCTTGATGTTCCCTTCGTCTGAGGGGAGGGGGGTGGTAATGGAGAGTGATTAGACCAGAGATGGACAAGATGTTCATACACTAAGTAATGGACACTTTCCAGAAAGCTACACTTAGTGACATGTAAGTATTAATTTTGATAGTGTCACAGTCATAATTTTCAATGTACAAAAACATTTATTTAGTTACACAGATGTACTATTTTCAGTAGATAACTGCTTGCTTCAAGCATATCAAGGCATATCACAATAATATGCAAGTTTGACACTCCCCGACGAACAACTAAAATGCACTGCTTCTTCTCCAAAAACTTTGCAGACTGTTAATGTTCTAGACATTGTCAAGTTACGACATATTTTCAAACACATATTCATACTCATAGACATTTATAAATTTTTTCGAGTCTTGTATAGTGGTATCGCATACGAATGGCCCCATACGAATGGACCTCATCCACACTATCTTCTTTACTCTGATTGGGGTACCGGTAAACATTAAAAACAATGACTAAAGAAGATAAAGCAGTTTAGGACGTTATACTACGGTAATGATACGTAAATTTGCGTCAAAATAAAATGCCTCATACGAATCAGAATTGTGTATGCGCATGTCTGCTTAGGGAAAGGTAAGCAGAATATGCACCATCCGCCGACAGATTTTTTGACGAATATTCCTCTATTACGACACGTTTAGGCTAAAATTTTACGTTTAATATAACGCAGACAATCTAAAGAATCAGTCTATGGTGGCACTTTTCCCTTGATGGCCCCAAAAGTCTCGATTATGGTGGATTTAAAAAGGTATTTCGCCGGACTCACCATCTTTCAGACGTGGGAAGGAAAAAAGAGGGAGAGGGTCAGCCTCGTTTTCAATCATGACCTTTCAAAACACTATTTTACCATTTTTTAAAAAAATCTCCAAATTATCAAATAATTTCTTTCGATAAAATGCTATGACAATAAATATATGTATTCTTCATTTATTGAATAAAAGATTATAGCCTTTTTTTACATTCAAACATACTATAGGTCAGAGGTCAACGGTCAATGAGTCATTTCTATTTTGGTGCTTCCACGTTGGCCAGATCCACGCGTTTGTTTACACGTGGGTCTCCCCCTAATAAAAAGGCGTGCATGCGATGACATCGCCATAACTCATTTTTCCACAGTCCAAGGAAGCCTGGCAAACCTTTGTGTACGTTTAGTAGCTACCCTTTTGGCCATACGCGGCGCACAACCAGGCTAGACCGCCCCCCTCCCCATCCCAGATCGATGTCAGTGGTGGCCGAGACCGCTTCTTTTTGGCTTCATACCATGCAGCCTGACAGTGGCGAAACGTCGTCAGTTCCATCCCTCCAGGACGTGATAGAGGTGTACACCAGGGTGTGTACAGCCGTGTGGGACGCTGGGGCTCACAGGTCACAACCTAAAGACTGTCAACCAGAAAACATGGAGGGAAAACAGGAGCAGGATGACTGTGAAAGGGACTATTTAGAATTAGACGACTTACCGGTGAGTCAGCTTTCCTTGTTGTGATTTTTGTGGACTTGTTATTTCGCGTTTCTTGCTTGATAACGGTGTGTTTTGAGTGTTGACAGGTCAGGCAAGCATCAGCCCAATTGTTGCACATGTGCAATAAAGTTTATTTTTATAACGCAGGTGAATGCATCTAAGACTAGGATTGACTTGGACACCTGACAACATGACCCTCCATGTATTTTAGTCAACTACATTTATCATAATTCCACCGGGTACTGCCACATTAAAAAAAAAAAAGCATTATTACCACTAAGGCCTTCAAGAACGTCTTGAACACCTGAACACTTGGATGACCGATTCCTGCAGAAGAAGATCTCTATAAATTCACCATGTTTTTAAAATGTAGCAATCTTAGGGTTGGAATCATAAAAAAATCCTTTTCTTAAGCTTTGAGTTTACTTAAACTTCGATATCCTGACTTGGTTTCCAGAATCCTAGTATTTTGGCTATTATGAGCTAATGACCCTAGACTACATCCATTGAATCAAAGTTATTTTTCTATTTTAGGAGCCGGTGAAGTTGCACGTCTTGTCCTTCCTGGACGTGAAGTCAGTCTGTCAGCTGGCAGCGGCTAGTCGGGACTGGAGGGTTCTGGGTAACGACAACATCCTGTGGAGAAAACTGTTGGAAAGAGACGGACCTTCCTGGTCATCCATTGGTCACAGGGGAGGAACTGACTTGAGTAAAGAAGACCACAAATGGAGGTAACTGAATACTTACGTCAATAGACAAGTTTAGCTTTCACGGATGGAATGAACTGTTTAACAGGGGGGACATTTCGAATAGAACACCTTTAACGGTGCACACCCCAGTTCTTCCGCGACAGGGGTCCGCGATAGTCCGTTGTAAAAAAGTGACGAAAGGGTTTTGAGGGTCCAAGTTTGAGGTGACATTTCTTATAAACTGCCACGAAGTATCATTAAACATTAACATGGCTGAATAGTGTAAGAAATGGTGATTTTGGGGTGAAAATTTCTTTTGGTTCCGAACCTTACTTCCTTGCGCGCCAAGTGTAATCCGCCCGTTTGACCTAGTTTTCGCTCTGCGGCTTCGTAGGGGTGGATTTGCAACCCCTCGCGCCGTGGACTGTTTAGAAAATTACAGTACTAGAATTTTCTTTATAATTTACTCGGGTATAGTCAAGGCTTGGGTCTTTCTGCCAGCATCAGTCATTTCTGCCGGAAAATTTTTTTTTGTGGGATTATCCTACGCGAAAATTTGCAATTTTGGGCATTAATTTTGGAGTGAAAATAATGTTTTTTCCGTTGATTTTACCAAACTTAAAAAGGTTGAAGAAACCAAACTCAGCTTGTCTTGTAGCTGAAGAGATATCCTTTCGTCCCATATACAGTTATTCTCCTTCCGAATTATTCCACGCCAGAGACGGTCGCTAGATTTGAGGGTGTGCAGCTTCGAATAGAGGCCCCAAATAAACTGGGGTGTGCCCCCTTAAACTGGCTTTTACCTTGCAGTGTCCCCCTGGCAGATCACTGATGATCTGCATTGTGGCCTCCGTCAGAAACCAGACTGGGCTATCTGGTGAGATTGGGTAGAAGGAAAAAAATTAACAGCTATCCTTCAGTAAAGTATCAATAGGCTTTTAGACTCCTTGTACCGGCACAGGTTAGGAACTTTTAGAAATTAAAGTTGCAGTTGAGAAATCTGCCAGGGCGGACACTGCAAGGGAGAGCCAGTCCTAGAATGGTGTTCTATTCAAAATGTCCACCCCGTGACGTAACAGTTCATTCGATCCGTTAAAGGTAAACTGGCCAAGAAATATGGCCTGATGTTTCTGTGCAGTTAAAGTTGGTTTGACAATATTTTGAATAGATTGTGTTGATTCATGCTTGCATGGCCACTGTGAGTGTGAGTCATCTTGTCTTGTGAACAAAACTCTTGTATTGATGAAGAATTTTTCTTCCATTTTGAACACCCAGGTATCTCCAGTGCTGTCCGGAGGCACAGAGGCACAAAGAAGCTTCCTCCATCGGCTCCCAGCTCCGAGGATACTTGAGGTTGCTGCTGCCTAAGACCCTACCCATGGTAGCCATGTTTGGGCCTGGCCTGAACACCAGCACTTCTCAGATAGTCCGAGCCATCATTAGTGGGAAGGAGGGAGTTTTCAAGACCAACATGCAAAGTACCATGTGGCAGACAAAGCTTCCCAGGAGAGGTGATTATATAAAGTTTAACACAATTAGGCCACACCAATTTAATTTCTTGGTTAACGGATTTTTCTAGAAAAATAATGGAGCAGGCGGGCGAAAAAAATAAAAACAGGCCTAGGCATCCTATTATTGCCCAAAATGGTACGATAGAAGCCATGAAGTCAACACACCAGGCTGGTTCAAAATTTAAACAATGAATTTTGAACTTTTAATGATACCACTGCATTGAAAGATGGAGTAACTGTAACAACTATGAAGAAAAGGACTGTTTTCAACTGTTCATGGCAAAATATGAGCATTTTGCAGTTGATTCTGAATTTTTTTTTGCAAATCAGAAAAAAATGAAGCGGGCGAATCCGTTAACCAAGAAATTAAATTGGTGTGGCCTTAGTGCATTATTTCATACTGTAGCATGATATTATTTGGTGGTTTGCAAGGTACAGGTCATGGGTTTGAATCCTGGCCTAGCTTTTGTATTCTGCTTTAGATGCTATAGCTTTTTTACCTCTTACAGGAAATCTAGGCAAGGATGAGATGTTGAATAACATTACATGGCCTTGTGTTTGGTTTCAGGAGGGGGAGGAGGACTTGCCATCAAGTTCAGAAACAAGCAGGATTTTTTCCTCATCACGTTGTACTCAGGGACAAGGTACATGTATGTTACTCAATACTGAGTAGTCATTTCCATGATGTAGTTGAACTGTTAACTTCACTTCCATGAAATGGTTTTCAAACTCTTGTTGCAGTACTAGTAGTTGATATGGTTTACTAAAGTATGGCAAAGCAATGTCATGATCCGTTAAACGGTGCAATGGCCAAGTGGGTAGAGTGCTCGCTTTGCATTAGGTAGGTTGTGAGTTCGATCCCGGGCCAAGTCATGCCAAAGACTTTAAAAATGGTACATACTGCTTTCTCTGCCTAGCACTCAGCATTTGAGACAGAGTATGGGAGCTAAACACACACCACTACCAGTGGACTAGCCCCCTGCTGTAGTGACACAACTGTGTGGCCCAAGGGCTACAGAAATGGAGATGGGCACTGCCATAGTTGGGGTGGATTTAACTTTAAAATAATGTCATAATCCTGTATTTAGAAATGGACCCTTTCTCTTCTTCCATTTTTCTGGCAATTGCTAGCGACCAACACCATTTTTTTGGTGTATATTGTAGCCCACAGTAGAAAATCGTAAACTTATATGTACATTTACATTATCAACCTTCTCTGTGCTGCTATATACAATACAAATTTGGTGCTAAACAGCATAAATGTTGATTAGGCTGAATGTTGAAGGCTAACATTACGTGTATTCTGTTTATATAGAAGTGAACGTGAAAGCCAGTCCTCTGGCAACAAACTCTTGGTGCCCAAGACGCCGACCTCCACTGATGCTGAACCAGAGTACGAGCTGAAACGGACCTTCCGCCGGCTGTGTTCCGAGGTCGCAGGGTTCATCTTCGTGGTAGACGCATCACAAGGAATAGACCACGGTGAGTACATAGACCGATAACTACAGTAACTGTGAATGCTATGCTATACAAATTTAAGAGGTGCGATGTTTAAGTAACTAATGCTATGAAGTTTTGAACTCTTGTAACATCACTGTCATGTACCTGACTGTGTTATTGAGAAGAGTAGACTAGAGTAGAGGTGATCCAGTGTGCTTGGCTGAAAACGTAATTTATTTTTTTGGAAGGTTATAGTTATAGGTCTTGCTAACACATTTTCCTTTTATCAACTTACAGTGTCTATTTTTAGACCCTGTTGTTGTTGTTGTTGTCTTTTTGTATCCCATCATTTATTACAAGACATGACAACGGCACATTAAAGTTTTCTCAACTTATTCAAGTACAGATATACAGATACAGACTTTCCCAGTAGGATGACCGTGTCAGTTCCTACACCTGAGTGAGGCTCACAGTTGACACTGTGGCCTTTGAATGGATTTGTTTTTAAGGTGGATAACAGGTTGTGAATCTAAGACCCACACACTTGGGCATCCATCTTCCCCGGCGGATCCATATCGAGGGAGACGTGTTGGTTCCGGTTGGGATGCTTGCAGCGAGCTGCCGGATGACTTGGTTACGCTCATAGTATAATAGACCAAGGAACAGACATACTCATTTTCACCCTTCCCAAGGGCACAAGGACCCTGTATATAGTAGATAACATAGTACACTGTTTTAACACTGTTTTAACAGTTCTTTGTTTTTTTAAATTTTTTCTGCAGTTGAGTCAGGTTTAGCAGAGCTGCAGGCCATGACTGACCAGCGCTGGACGCCTGAGTCCACCCCAGTCCTGGTGCTGTCCTGTGTGCCAGGGGAGGGGGAGGGTCATCAGGGGGAGACCAGACTACCTTGTATCAAGGTCATGGAGGCCTTACAGCTGGGGAGCATGTCCAGACCCTGGCAGGTAAATAACCATAAATACTCTTTTACTAGCCTCCTTCAGACTTGTTGAGCGTGGGCGTTATTTTTTTCTGTGAGCGACGCGAGTAATATGTGGCCGCAAGGGACGATTTGCTGCCGAGGGAGTTTTTGCCGCGGTCAGAGGCACTCGAAACCTTCTCTCCGCGGCAAAAACTCCCTCGGCAGCAAATAGTCCCTCGCAGCAGCATATTATATTACTAGCGTCGCTCACAGAAAAAAATAACGCCCACGCCCAACAAGTCTGCGAAGGAGGCTACTCTTTTACCAACTTGTTACAATATCTTAGGTAATAAGGCATGCCTAAAAACAGGTAGTCAAACAACTGGATATGATTTTGACGTCTGACTGTTTTGACAATCATATGCAATTGCTTGAGTAACTGTCTTTTTGGAACATCTTCAATGGTTTAATATGGTAACCTCTGTATATAAAAGAGATAAGGGGGAGCCGGGGAGGGGGGTACAGATTTCAAAAACAGGTGTCAATGACCTTTGCTAAGATCTTGTCATACAAATGTATGTCAGCTTTGTTGAATGGCTGGCAAAGTGGGTGTGTTACAATTGAATTGAAGTATAAAATTGAATTGAATTGAACTGAAAGAATGTCTTGGGTGCCTCCGTTGAGGGTGAATGGAAAGCAGTAAAAAAATTTCATTTATGCAATATTTAGTTGGATGAAAAACGTCAAGAGGTAATGCTTTGGGTATGGTGTATGGAAAACATGGTTCATTGTATGTAAAAAAATGTAAAGGTAGCCTTTGAGGATGTAGGGTTAGTGGGTTGTTGGTGCACTGTGTCAAGGGCATGGAATAAGGCCATGTTGATTTGATTTTATGGATGACATCCTCTGGGAACCCCAAAACTGATGCAAGCGTGCGGATAAAAAAGAAGTTTTGCAAGAAAAAGTTTCCTTCATTATGAAATCTACGTGGTCATTAAGGTTGAACAAAGGACTAAACACACTAAACACATGCATGGCAAACAACAATAGACTCTTCATTTTCATTTCTTCGCATTTTCTTATTTTCCTGATTTGATTTCGGCATTTTATGGCATTAGTATCGTTTTCCAATACTTTTTGTTGCAACATACAACCTATGTTTGCTCATTTTGTACGATTTACAGTATGGTAGAAAATTTTTCTTTTTGGAAACGGACGAAAATTGATGCGCGTGCAGATGTCATCCATATAATCAAATCAACATGACCAAGTGAACGTAGAACCCATCCCTGTGACCTCTCAATCTCGTGTCCAGACCTGACCACTCCGCCTTTCTACACTGACTGTTGGGCAGGGACCAGCTTAAGGAGATCCCATTGAAATCTATGCTAAAACCACTAGAAACAAACACTTTAAAACACATTTACCTATATCTCAAACCTCAAGTCTTTACCCCCACTGGAAAGCTGGATTTGTCAGGTGTCTTTTGGTACAAATAGTGGAAGTTCGACTCCTGCTTGTTAATGAGCTACAGCTAAAATATTGAAATGATACCAGGATTTCACCCCCTGGCAAAGTGGGACACTCCACACAGATCACAAGTATTTAGAGGTCAATAACAGGTCAAACCATGAAAAAGGTCACACTTTTTGGCCATATTTTAAAAATATACATTCTTCTGTCCTTCTTACCAGAAAACTAGGCCTTTCTGAGCAAAATTTGCCCAAGAAAAAAAAACTATCTAAAAAATAAGTACCAAAATAAATCGTTGGTGTACACACTGCTAGTTCTGCGCATGATGATTTGCTGGTCCCTCCCCTGTTCATGACATGGTGATTATTGTTGTAGGTGCAGAACGCTGTGGCAGGAAGTCTGCAGGATGTAGATACGGGTGTGGAATGGCTCATGAACAACATCCAGGGAACGTGACATCATGTAAACACAGAAGGTTGACTTCAGAACTCCATACCACTGCCTATTTCCTGTCAACTTTATAATCTCCACCAGTCTTCTTTTGCAGGCTGAATAAATAGTAGGAATCGGCCTCAAAAAAGGGGATATAATTGGCCAGAGGAGTTTGTTGGCCATAGAGGGTCCAGTTAGTTTGTGCAGGCCAACTGGACCCTCTTTGGCTGGTAAACTCATCTGGCCAATTATATCCCCTTTTTAGGCCAATTTCTACTATTCATTCAGCCTGCTACTGTAATTTTCTTCAAGTTTGCTGCACTTAAATCAAGAAGAGTTTGCAGTGCCTTCAATGAGTTTGCAGTCGTAACAATTATGGTAACGTTAGTAATGCATTATGGAATACGGAACATGTTTGCGACTTGTTCCCACCACAAATGCACAAGATGTAGCAAAAATTATAAGAAATTATAATTGTTTCCCCCTGTACAGTGTAAGAAGGCATATGAACCATTAACATTCCAGTGGTATCTGTAAATGAAAGAGACAGATTTCTTCACCTGAATTTATTTCCTTTTGTTGGTTCACACTTAAAACTTCCTAGAAAATGTCATGAACAATACAAAGATCAGATTGAGTGTTCTTGGGTCCATGTTAAATAATTCTGGTTGTCTTGTTAAACTGTTGTTTCAATCTTATATACAAGGTAACAAAGTTGCATATATTGTTGCTACATGTATATGATTATTTTCTATACGTTGAAAGTAGTGATTATTTTTAGATACTATCAACAAAACTTAAATGTATCAAAGTGATAGAAATCTACAAAATGTTCTTCTGATTACAATAAGTGTAACAGAAGGTTGTCATAAGAATGGCATTGTTACATTCTGTATTATATAATAGGTAACTTGTCATTTTGTATTATAATATTTGTCATGTATATACTGTATATAGATAACAATGTTATTCTGACAAAGTATTCTCTCTATACTGACTCTTTAATTTTGTACATTGCATATCTCATAATAATTGCTATTTATTAATTCTTTATTATAAATGGCACATAACTTACAATGCGTACTGTGCATTTTAAAAGGATTAAAACCAAAAGTTCTGGTGCAGTAAAAAGGAAAGCTGCCAGGGATGAAAAATGTTATTATTTCTTTGAAAAGTCAACCAAATTTCATGACAATCCATCCAAAGCTTCGAGAAATATCATGCCCATATACATAGTGTTACGTACATCCAAACAAGCAACTGCTACCTAAAAACATGGATTCTAGAGAGCTTAACTTTTCATACCCTGACCCTTTCTTCAGCTTGTTATATAATTAAATATTAGCATACAACCCTTACACAATATGCTAGTATGCTTTGGCCTATATACATTGTTTAGCAATAGAGTGGTCAAAATTACAATTAAAACAAATATCAGATGATGTGTTGTCTTTCAAATTATAATTTTACATCAAGGATATATTTCAATTATAAAGTCATATGTCATACATACATGAATGGTATCCATTCTTGGTTTCTCAGCAATGCAGTTTTTTTGTTTGTTTTTTCTATGTATGATTTTCTTTAGACGTTAAACCAGATAAAGAGAGAGAGATGATTGACTTGTATTTACAACTGTAAATTAATGGTACATGTACCTTCTCTATCATGGTGCATATCTTTGCCACTAGCTTCCTTCAAAGACTAGGGTGCAGCCACATACTTCTTCAAACAGTAACTTTTTGAGAACTTGCACTACTTGGCAAAAGTAACAATAAATAGTCTTAGGTATTGAAGAGCTGCTTACGTATGCTGTAACCAATGCCCTTGGTATACTGGGCTTAAACCAAAGTGTCAATAATCTTAATTAGAATTTGAAAATGAAATTTAGCATTTTTGTCTATGACTGCTTTTACAACTTGTCAAGCCATTCCTAGGAAATTAAATTACTATCACTGTGATACCTATCCTGTTCAATAGAATGGAAAAAAGTCTTGTGTGTTACTGTTACTTGTCCACTTCTGAAAGGTCTTGATGACTTTTCTTAATACAATGTACTCAGTGTACCTCTTGTATGTTTAAAAACCAATTCAACAAAGCTTCAGCTGACTATTACAAATTGTCAAAGCTCTTGGTCCATTTTTATCTATGAGTGTTCTCATTTACTAAGTTAATCTACAAGCAGATCTTTCAGAGGCAAAGTGGTAACCAGGTTTTACAACTAGTGTATGCTAACATTTCTTCACATCAGTTTTGCCTTGGGGATCCTTGTATTTGGTTAAATACATGTTAGAAATATGTTTTGCGGCTAATACAAGCAATACTGGATACTGTCTGGCCGATTTCGTAGAATCGTCACTGAGTGTCTTGCTGGATGGTTCTGACTTTGCCACCAAAAGATCTGCTTGGAGACTGGTCATTTACGTGTTGTCTGCTAGTGTCTGAGTGGATTGTTCTTTTACAGGTCCTCTTGTTTGTCAATATCAGCATACTGGAATTCTTCGTGAATCTCCATATTCATGTAGGGCTGTGAGAAATAAAACAACAGATAAATTATGTAGTACAGCCTTTTAACAATCTTTGAAATACATATATAACTGAAAGTTTGTAATGCAAGACTGGATAGCAAAATGTAAGAAAACGGCGAAGAAACTTGTGTCACTCTATTTTCTTAAGAGATTAAAATCAAATTCAGCTGCTCAATGCCCATATTAAAGTAAATGTGTAAATGTACTTCAGAAAGTTTTTTTTTCTAACTGGTTGCTATGATTATCATCTGACCATTACCTGCAACTTGTTTTCATAGAGTAAATTTCATAGCCCCAATGCGTAACATTACATATACAGTATAATGGTCAATAACATATCAAAATTGACCTACCAAATGTAGAACCAGCTAGTTTAAATTCACCCATCCAAAGTTAGACAGACTAGAAAAGCGAACCTACATTACACTTATCCATTAAGTTAGCTCACATTCTATTCTATTCTATTCTATTCTATACGGTACTGGGCGAAACCCTGACTAGGGCATCCTAGTACATGTTACTACTGTACCTTCCTGGCTTGTAACATCTTGTTGAGGGCCACGCAGATCTGGGCGAATGGCGGTCGGTCGTACGGGCGGTCACGCCAACACTGGCGCATCAGCTGATACCTGGAACATGTACAGAGGTTCAACATTATTCTACTGACAAAAATTCTATACAGCTTAGATCTGTGAAGCCGCTAATCTCCACAACTTTTGGTGTATAGAGCACTTAACTTTATATCTTCATTTCTATAGCCCTTGGGCCACACAATTATGCAGGCATCACAACAGGGACTTGTTCACTAATAACATTTTAAATGTGTAAATCAACTTCTACCATCCTCGCTCTCTTGTTGATGTGGTTGGTATGCAGGTTTACTAAATTTTCCTCATATTCTGGCATAGACTATGTTATATAATTTAGACAGCAATGCACTGTGCCAGAAAACATTCTGTGCTTGACAGAGACACAATGTAATATATGTGTAACAAAGAGTAACAGAAACAGTACACGGGAGTTCAAGAATTCATACCGATTTTATGGAATTCATACTAATTTTACAGAATCCATACGAATTTTTCAAAATACTACAACGATCCATTACCAGAAACACTTTTACGAAATACATACGATCCATTACTCGGAAACAATCGGATACTAATTTGGTGATCCAGGCACAGGTCACTGGCCAAATTAGTAAGGATTGTATGTATTCCGTAAAATTTGTATGGATTCTTGGGCACCCCTCGTACAGTATGGTATGAACGTACAGGTCGTCATCACAGTTGAGAGGTTGTTCCATCCGGTAACCCTGGGGAAGTCTCTCAAACAGTTCCTTACAGGTCATGCCGCAGTATGGGGTTCCACCTAGAGTAAAACATGTACATTTTGTATTATCAAAATGCAGCGTTGTCACTGCAGTAATGATAGAACAAATCACTGCAGTCAGAATGAATGCATACATTTGGGGAGTTTTTTCAAGTTACCACAGCAGCCAAAACAGCTGGGATATCATCGACCTTAGACCTTCCTTTTGTGCCTATAACATATTGGGCAGCAATGTTCCACTTCGAATTCCTTTTGGATAACATTGTAGAATGCCTAAATATGATACACTACTACGACTCAAGATATATGTACATATTCTTCTTCTTCTTTTCATGACCTTCTGTTTAGCTAATATGCAAATATTAGTATATATATAGAGAGAGAGAGAGATACATAGATAGATATATAGATAGTAGATAGATAGATAGATAGATAGATATAGATTTTGATTCTGACTTGAATTTATGTTTATATGATTTCTGTACCTATGTTCATGTTCATGTTTTGGTGTCTTATAAGCCCATATGGGCTGGGCGAAAAAAGTCACAAGACAATTAATAAAAACTCATTTATTCATTCATATAGATATAGATATTATGTACATACAACAAAACTGGTCAGTTTGAAAAGTTGTATCCTACCTAATGTTATGATCTCCCACAGCAGAATTCCATAGGACCACCTGTTGAAAATACAAGACAGTTCAGTGTCCAGTGATATAGCATATCAACTGTCAAGCTAAGCACTAGCTAAAAGAAGTTTTCATTTCAATGACATTCAAATGATGGAATGTTTAGGACCTACTCTCCAAGCAGAGGTTGTGGGGAATGATCGTTACCTTTTTATATATGGCCGCTTTTTTTGTCCTGATCCCCACCGTCGGTGGCCGCGGAGCTTCTCTGGCTAATGGATACTGCCTGGCCAATTTGATACTGTCTTTTTTGCCACCGATAGGGATCTGCTTGGAGATTATTTAGGACCAATGTTCACCGTGTGCGTTAATGTTAACAGGTGGTTTGAGAATGAACTGAAAACTCACACGTCACTCTTGGTGGTGTAAACGCTGTAAGTAAGAGACTCCACTGCCATCCACCTCACTGGCAAGCGACCCTGGAACAAGGAATAAAATAGACGTCTTGCTGATGTATGACTGGGAACTCAGAAGAGTCATAAATGCTTGGGACAGCACATAAAGATGCAAACTGTAGCACACCCTTCCACACCCTTATCTTCAATTTGCAAAGAAAAGTTTTGGACTTGCTTTGTTTGAAGATTGTACTACATTGTGCATCATACAATGTGCATATGAACAATGACTTAGGCATGAAAAGCAAAGTTCTTTGATCACCATTTATTTTTTTAGAGCCATAGGCTCGTAAAAAATTTACCTTAGAAATTATTTTTTACTTAACATTTAAATGGTTGTGATCAAAGAAATTTGCTATTCATTCCTTTACCAACCTGATGAAATTATTTACGAATCACTTACAAAATGTACTACTAGGCAGTTCCGATCCAAACGTTTTAAAAGGGTCAGTGGGGTAGGTAATATTTACTTGGCCTCCTTAGCAGACTTTTGCGGCGGCCGCGGAGTTGATTTTCTTCACGGACTACGAAGACGTAGTTTTGGCGCTGAGGGAGCGAGTTATGCGGCTCAGCGGCAAAACTTCCTCTTCGTTGCCGGTGTAAAAATTGCAAATCAACGTTTCCACTAGCCTCCTTCGCAGGTCGACTTGTTGGGCGTCGGCGTTATTTTTTTTCTGTGAGCGACGCGAGTAATATGCCGGGGACCGCGGACGGACGATTTTGCTGCCGAGGGAGTTTTTGCCGTTGAGAGAAGGTTTCGCGCTTGGAGCTTGGAGCGTCGCTCACAGAAAAAAAATAACACCCAACAAGTCTGCGAAGAAGGCTGGCCGCCGCACAAGTTTGCAAAGGAGGCTAATATGTACCATGGTGGTCTTGACGTAGACGTTTTCTCCGCGGGAAAGGCCGAAGTCCGACACCTTGGCGACCATGTGTTCTCCCACCAGGACATTCCTCGCTGCCAGGTCACGATGGATGCACTGAAACAGCAGATATATGAGTCATAAGAAGCCAGGTTTACACAATTCTTGTCTAGAACTGTTTTTATCATGTGTCATTTGCATGTTTTCTTTTATATGGGTCATGGATGCCTGAAATAAAGAATAAAGAAGACAAGGCTTGATACTATTCTAAGTTAAGTAAGGTCAGGCTGTTTTCTGATATTGTGTAAAAATGTGTGACGGGTCTAATTTTTGGTATTTGAGAGATTTGAAACCCTAGCCTGAAATTCAGCCGCATCTAACTGCAGATACTTTCAACTGTAGGCTGGCCGGCTATGCAAACCTCGGGGCCGCCTTAGATAAAACCAGAACTGTATACAGATAGTGTAAGTGACTGTAACTGTATCTGTATAGCCGTTAGAACCACCCTTTGGCATAACACACCGGCTGGAACAACTACTCATGTAACTAGTACAGTAACTGTAAATTCATTAAAACTCGTGGGGAATTAATTTCGTGGCAGGGGGGAAATGGAGATGTTTCAAGTTCTCCGTGAACAAAACGCCTCATTAGGAAGGATGATCTCCATAAGGGCCAAAGACAAGAGGAACCGTGGAATGGACTACTATGGATCATAGGGGTGCAAGCGTTTCCAACAAAATTCACCATGTGAGCTTTTTAACGAAAATATGATTGTATAACTGTTACATACATATATACCGTGAACTACACTATAATACGGCCAGCTGCCATGAAACATTTTTGCATCGACCAGCAAGCTGAACATGAACCCTTTTCTCAGGTGTTCGGACACCCCCTGAGCTCCTGAGTGATCCTAAAGCTTGCTTCCATTGCGTCATGGCGTTCGGTTTGTCTGGACAGTAAGAACTTGACTTAGTAGCTATTGGATTGCGCCACGTCTTCATTTCACTCTTCAAAGCAAAGTCTGTGACGTCGGAGTGGTGAAAATGTCAGTGGAGAAACTTGTCACGGACCAAGGTAGGCTATCATGGGCAGTTTTCTGTGGCAGATACGCCTTTCTTTTCTTTAACAGGTTCCCATCTATTTGACGTTGGTTATGACGAACAGTGTTTGTGTTTCATTCTATCAAGGTTCCGTCCCTTTCCTGCCCGGTGTGGGCCTGACCAGGCCGCACAAGAGGCTGAGCGGGCGGCGGACGGGACTGGCACTCCTGGCGGGAGGCTGGCTGGCGTGTGCCGTCCTCATGCCGCTGGTCTACGTCACCATGTCAAACCTGCAGCTGGAGGTGACCGAGCTCAGGAACCGCATGGTAAGGATCCGACTTGAATATTTTCAGCGGGACAAGAAAAAAACAAGACGTAGAACAACAATAATTTTGTACGTCAAGTACAAGGTGTGTAAGACCAGAGGGACAAATTTAATAACAGCACTCGCACCAAGTTCTTTCATATCGTCTATATGGTTTGTGAGGCTCTCCTCAAACACGAAACCTTCTTTTGTATGTCCAGCACGAGAGGACGCCACTAGCTAGCCGAAGTTGGGTGCTCACGCACTTGTACTAAGTCCAAGTTTTTCCTATCTGGCGACGTAAAAAAATGTATTTCCTCTGACATCACAAAAATCAATTATCATTAAATACGCGGGACTATTTATTAGCCACTGTCCCCAAATAAGACGTCAAACCATCCAGTAATGTACTTAGAAAGATTACATAGATCTACTAGTATATAGACTAGACGCTTCTTACCTTTTACTATTAGCCTCTGGTCAAGAGTTTGCAAGTAAAGTTTGTCTGTACGTATACGTTAAGTGCACATCAGGGGCACAGAATTTGGACTGAACCCAGAAAATTGAAGTCAACAATTTGAACCCGTCACCTCTTAAGGCCACCAGGCCAAGTGATCCCTGCAACAGTGGGAAAATGTGAACAAATGCACGACACGTATATCAACGCGGATCACTGGGCTGGGAATGTGACTATTGTCTACCTAATTCAGTTGTTCTTACCAATTTCTTTTCATAATGTCACAGAACACTCGATCTGCACCGGTCGCCTTAGCTGGTACAGAGGACCGACGGAACGACATTGCTGCAGGCGGGGCACGCAGAGAGCGGAGACAGGCCGACCAGACGCCGACCATCGGGAGCGTGTACGTGCGTTGGGGGAGGGACGACTGTGGTGAAAACGCCAACACTATCTACTCTGGTAGGTCAAACAGAAGACTCAATTTACTTTAAAGGATGATTAATTCTTGTCCTGTCAGCAATCAAGATCACATCAGTCAAATCCTGTTACTTTTTCCGAAGATATGCTTCGATTCAGAAACCCATCTTGCCTTTTCGTAGGTGTTGTGGGAAGCGGACATTATAACCACCAAGGAGGAGTAAGTGACTACCAGTGCCTGCCCATGGAAGATGTGAAGTGGAACAACACAGTGGCTGGTAATCAGCACCACAGCTACATCTACGGGACAGAGTACCAGCTCAACAGTGCTGACTACTTCTCTACTGACAACATGGACCACATCAACAACCCCTACGACTACGACGTCCCCTGCTCGGTGTGTCTCGCGTCTCGTCGGTCTGCACACGTCATGATCCCCGCCCGCCTGTCCTGTCCTGAGGGGTGGAGTAAGGAGTACAGCGGCTATCTGATGTCGGCACATCACGGCCACCAAAACAACAAGAACTTCATCTGTGTGGACGGCGCTCCCGAACTCAGGATGGGATCTTCTGCTAACCTGGATGGAGCCTTTCTGTACCTGGTGGAGGCGCAGTGTGGCTCTCTTCCCTGTCAGGATGGGCCCTACGTCAGCGGCTACGAGCTGACCTGTGTGGTCTGTACTTTGTAAACTGTTATTTGATCAGTTGGACGCAACGTCCTCATATTCCCCTGCACTATCTGTGCACATTGTCTTCATTTATGTCCCGAGTTTGTTGTTGCCTACTGGCTGTAGGTAGAACTTAGTGCGCGATTGTGTGTTTCCGGCGGTGTAATACATGTACAGGCGATTGTACCTTTTGTGTAATATAACAGTGAATGGATCAACTGTGTATTTTTCACACATACGTACAGGGCTACAGTCAGGACAACAATACTAGTGGTCAGCAAAATACAACACATTTTCCTTTTCTCCATACAGAGGCTACCGGGAGGGAAAGACAATTATAGCAGCTAGATAAGTTACTGTCTTGAGTGATAATTGGGGAATGATTGCTTTATGATGTGTAATGTTTGCTTTTCAGACACAATACATAGAATTTTATGCATCTTCGTCTCAGTAGTTGATCTTGTCAAAAAAGTGAATCATTTTGTGGATACGAGTATTGCTTCAGTTGTATAGGTCACTCTTCTGTTATTGTACTTGTGTGTGTATGTTGAAAAGTTCAATTTATGTATGTACACAAATGTATTTTGGATTTCATATATATATGCATACATATATATCCAGTTTGTAGTGTTGTGGCAGATACATGAATATTGTATCGTTTATTCTAAAATGAGGTCACGTTGTCTTCTGATGTGTGGAAGTGCGAGTGCCCCTTTGAAAGTATGTTATCACAATTAACTTTCGCCTTTATTTCCAATACTTCATCATGAACGAGCTTTCTTCAAATAAAACTATGTAAGGGCCTGAACTTCACTAGTGCTAGTTGCATTTTTCTCCAATGCAAAGACCGGCCCAAACGTAAAACACGTACAAGGCGCGAACAGTATAGAGTTAAAATCAGTGCAACTTTACCTGTTGCTAACACTCTATTCTCCAAAATTGACAGCCATTTTCAAGTGTTCTAATTAGCTGGCATGCAAGCGTGTGGCGGGTATAATTTCTGGTATTGTAAGATTCAAAACCCTGAACTGAAATCCAGCCGCATCTAACTGCAGTTGCTTCAGCAGCTCCCCAACTGTAGACTGGCTGGTCATACAAACCTCGGAACCGCCTTAGATAAAACCAGGGCAGAACGTTATACATTTTGTACTGTATTACAGATAGCATAAGTGGCTGTATCTGTACCTGCATGTAACCTGTAGAACCGCCCTTTGGCATAACACACCGGCTGGAACGTTAACAACTACACTCAACTAAAAATAATCGTATGTAAAGTACTAAAGTAACTGGTTTACGAATTTAAACTCGTGGGGAATTGATTTCGTGGCAGGGGGGAAATGGAGATGTTTCAAGTTCTCCGTGAACAAAGGCCTCATTAGGAAGGATGATCACCACCGCCCCACCTCACATAAAGGCCAAGGACAAGGAGAACCATGAGGAATGGACTACTATGGATCATAGGGGTGCCAGCATTTCCAACAGAATGCACCATGTTAGCTTTTTAACGAAAATATGATTGCATAACTGTTACATACATATATACCGTGAACTACACTATAATACAGCCAGGTGCCATGAAACATTTTTGCATCGACCAGCGAGCTGAACATGAACTCTTTTCTCAAGTGTTTGGACACCCCCTGAGCTCCTGAGTGATCCTAAAGCTTACTTCCATTGCGTCATGGCGTTCGGTTTGTCTGGACAGTAAGAACTTGACTTAGTAGCTATTGGATTGCGCCACGTCTTCATTTTACTCTTCAAAGCAAAGTCTGTGCCGTCGCTTACGTAAAATGTCAGTGGAGAAACTTGTCACGGACCAAGGTAGGCTATCATGGACAGTTTTCTGTGGCATATACCCCTTCTTTTCTTTAACATCTATTTGACGTTCGTTATGACGAACAGTGCGTTTCATTCTATCAAGGTTCCGTCCCTTTCCTGCCCGGTGTGGGTCTGACCAGACCGTACAAGAGGCTGAGCGGGCGGCGGACGGGACTGGTACTCCTGGCGGGAGGCTGGCTGGCGTGTGCCGTCCTCATGCCGCTGGTCTACGTCACCATGTCAAACCTGCAGCTGGAGGTGACCGAGGTCAGGAACCGCATGGTAAGGATCCAACTTTTGTACAAATTTTCTACGTCAAGTATAAGGTGTGTAAGACCAGAGTGAGAAGTTTAATACCAGCACTCGCACCAAGTTCTTTCATATCATATATCAGTATATGGTTTGTGAGGAAAATGAGAACAAATGCACGACACGTATATTAACTTGGGTCAGCAGGTTGGGAAGATGGAGCTCGAGTATTGTCCTAATTCAGTCGTTCTTACCAATTTGTTTACATACTGATGTCACAGAACACCCGATCTGCACCGACCGCCTTAGCTGGTACAGAGGACCGACGGATCGACATTGCTGCAGGCGGGGCACGCAGAGAGCGGAGACAGGACGACCAGGCGCCGACCATCGGGAGCGTGTACGTGCGTTGGGGGAGGGACGACTGTGGTGAAAACGCCAAGACTATATACTCTGGTAGGTCAAACAGAAGACTCATTTTTTTTAAAGATCTTTTTATCTAATCCTGTAAGCAATTAAGATCAGCCATACATCAGTCAACTCCACTTATTCTTCCGGGGATATCGATGATGATTCAGAAACCCATCCTGCCTTTTCGCAGGTGTTGTGGGAGGTGGACATTATAACCACCGCGGATCGGGAAGTGACCACCTGTGCCTCCCCCTGGAAAATGTGGAGTGGAACAACCCAGTGGCCGGTAATCAGCACCAGAGCTACATCTACGGGGCTGAGTACCAGCTCAACAGTGCTGACTACTTCTCCACAGACAACATGGCTGGCATCACCAACCCTTTTAACTACGACGTCCCCTGCTCGGTGTGTCTCGCGTCTCGTCGGTCTGCACACGTCATGATCCCCGCACGCCTGTCCTGTCCTGAGGGGTGGAGTAAGGAGTACAGCGGCTATCTGATGTCGGCACATCACGAACACCCGAGCAACAAGAATTCCATCTGTGTGGACGGAGCTCCTCAGCTCAGGGCAGGATCATCTGCCGACCTAAATGGAGCCCTGCTGTACCTGGTGGAGGCGCAGTGTGGCTCTCTTCCCTGTGTACCCTACATCAGCGGCTTCGAGCTCACCTGTGTGGTCTGCACCTTGTAAATTGTAACTTGCTCAGCCGGGCGGCAACGTCCTGATATTCCCCTTCACTGTCTGGTTTTATGTTGGGCGTAATTGTGTGTTTCACGGTGTAATGCAGGCGATTGTGCCTTTTGTGTAATATAACGGTAAATGGATCAGCTGTATACTTTTCACACGTACGTACAGGAGTACAGACAGAACAACAAAGTTGATAATAGTCAGCAAAAAACAAAACATTTTCCTTTTCTTTACAGGGTCTGCAGAGGGAAAAACAGTTATAGCAGCTAGATAAGTTACCGTCAAAGATTGTCTTGAGTGATGATTGGGGAATGATTGCTTTATGATGTGTAATGTTTGCTTTTTAAGACGCAATACATAGAATTGTATGCATATTAGTAGCTGATCTTCTAGTCGAGAGAGGTGAACAATATCATTTTGTGGATATTGCTTTAGTTATATATAATTATATACATGTGGGTCACTCTTCTGTGATTGTAATTCTGTGTTTGTGTTAAAAAGCTTAATTATGTATGTACACATACGTATTTTGGATTTCACACATGGTTTGTGGGGTGCTGCAGATACATGAATATTGCACTATTGGTAACTTGGCTATTCTATTGAGGTCAGGTTGTCTTCTGATGTGTGAAAGTGCAAGTACCACACGTTGAAGATATGTTTTCACAATTGACTTTCCCTCTTGTTTCAAATAATCCATCACGAATGAGCTTTATTTTCTTCAAATAAAACCATGTAAGGACCAGCTTTACTAGTGCTAGTTGCATTTTCTCTAAAGGCGAAGACGCGCGCAAACGTAAAACACGTGAAAGCCTAATCTCCAAGCAGATGTTTCGGTGGCTGCAAAAGACAGTATCAAATTGGCCAGTATCCAACACGCCACCCCTGTTTCAGTGCCGGCAGATGTTGGGTGGCGTGTTGGATACTGTCTGGCCAATTTCATACTGTCTGGCCAATTTGATACTGTCTTTTGCAGCCACCGAAACATCTGCTTGGAGATTAGTGAAAGCCAGCAATACAGAGGTAAAGTCAGTGCAACGTTACCTGTTGCTAACACTCTTTCTCCGATAATGACAGCCATTTTCACATATTCAAAATAAAAGTTGTTACGCATACGCATTTAACTGCAGCTACGTTAGCCGCTCCCAAACAGTAGACTGGCCAGCTATACAAACTTCGGGACCGTCATAGATAAAATTAGCTCAGAGCAGAACTGTATATTGATAGTGTAAGTGGCTGTATCTGTACCTGTATAGCCGGTATAACCGCCCTTCGGCCTTACACACAGGCTGGAACAACTACACTCAACTATAAATACACTCATGTAACAAGTACAGTAACTGTAAATTCATTAAAACTCGTGGGGAATTGCTTTCGCTGTAGGGGGGAAAGGAGATGTTTCAAGTTCGCCGTCAACAAAAAGCTTCGTTAGGTACAAAGCAAAGCATGATCCCCCTCCGAGTCTGCAATTATATTGCATGAAGTACACACACCACACACGCAAAGGCAATTTTCTCACTAGGATAAAATTGTCCCGATCGAATGGAAGCTTCAATTCCGGATTGAATATGTAGCACATATTTGGAATTAAACAATTCAAACTTTTAGGTGTGTCCAATCGGGATCGGTATATTACAAACTTCTCTAGTCATCGACTTTCTTAACGCACCATGCGTAACAAACGGGTCAATGACCCCTTCGTATGCCAGTGTTCTAAGAAAACTTTTATCACCCCCATATCACATGATATCATAAAAATCGTAGAACCTGCAGCTGATGTTGAACCAGTACATGAGAAAGGCTGGTTAGTCTTCGAGTAATGCTTCCTTTAATGCCCATTCCTCGGTTGAAAGGGTAAACATAAATGTTATGAATGTGTAGTACATGACGTTTCCTTACCCCCTTCTCACTGAGGAACTTCATCCCCCTCGCCACGTCTATAGCCATCTGCAGCAGCTGTTCGCATGACAGCGCGCACGCCAGGTTGGTCTTCTGTGCGTAGTCCGGGTCCGTGTCTAACGTCCGGCTGGACCGCAGCACTTCCAGCAGGCTTCCATAGGGGGCGTACTCGGTGGCCACCAAGAGCTGGTCTGAGCATCACAACGTAGAAATACACATTCATCAAAAGACTTAAAAAATGAAGGGGTCTGGAATGATGCATATGCGTATTTCATTTGGAATTATATTATTCAGTCTCCACCAGACTCCTTTGCAGGCTGCATAAATAGTCTAAATCAGCCTAAAATGGATATAATTGGCAAGGGGCGTTAGCCATAGCTGGCCATAGTAGGCAGGTAAATAGTTCCTATAGCTACTATGGCCGGCTACCTCCCCTAGCCAATTATATCCCTTGTAGGCTGATTTCCACTATTTATTTTAGTCTGCAGGGGGATACTAAAGAATATACTTCCAAACGAAATGCGCATCAAATCTTAAATATTTAGAATAACATGGAGACATGAACGTTAGTATTGACATTTCTCGGCCTCGTGCTGCAGATTTGTATTGCAATTGAAAAAGATGTCTCCATACCTCCCACATGGCACGCTCCTATCAGGTTGATCACATTTGGATGCGGTCCTATCTTGCACATGATATCAAGCTCCCCTATAAAATCCTTTCGATCGTTGTCAGTTGCGCCCTCTGTGGACAAAAATAATAACAACAACAACAATTTCATCTGTCCTTGGTGCTGAATAGGCCTTCCGTCCTGTATATAATGTTATACACATGAGAAAAGCATTTTTCAACAACTTCATTCGATTGTTGTCAGTTACACTTTCTGTGGACAAACAAAATAATGACTTTATCTGTCCTTGGTGCTGAATAGGCATTCCGTCCTGTATAGAATGCATATGTTATACACTTGAGAAAATCATTTTTAACAACTTCCTTTCGATTATTATTAGTTACACTTTCTGTGGACAAACAGAATAACGATTTTATCTGTCCTTGGTGCTGAATAGGCCTTCCGTCCTGTATATAATGTTATACACCTGGGGAAAGCATTTTTAACAACTTCCTTTTAATCGTTGTCAGTTACGCCCCCTGTGGACAAATAGAATAACGATTTTATCTGTCCTTGGTGCCGAATAGGCCTTCCGTCCTGTATAGAATGTTGTACACTTGAATAAAGCATTTTTCAACAACTTCCATTCGGTTGTTGTCAGTTACACTCTCTGTGGACAAACAAAATAATAACTTTATCTGTCCTTGGTGCTGAATAGGCATTCCGTCCTGTATAGAATGCATATGTTATACACTTGATAAAAGCATGTTTAACAAATTCCTGTCGATTATTATTAGTTTCACTTTCTGTGGACAAACAGAATAACGATTTTATCTGTCCTTGGTGCTGAACAGGCCTTCCGTCCTTTATAGAATGTTATACACTTGGGGAAAGCATTTTACGACAAGTTTGCAAGTTATGCCAATTGAAAGAAACAAACAAATAAACAAACAACATTTTCTGACCTTTCAGGACTTTGATGGCAGCCTTGACCCGCCGGTCACCCTTCTTGATGGTCGCCTTCATGACTTGTCCGAAGTTTCCTTCCCCTAAAATCTGCCCCTCCAACATCAGGTCCTCACATGGTATGACCCAGTAGTCTTGTTTCACCTCGGTGGCAGAGTCCACGTTTGTGAAATAACTCCCCTTCGGCAGCTACATGTAGGAGGGTTGGAAAGAAGGGAAAAGATCTGATAAGGACAACCTTTTTTAAAAAGCTCTTTTATATATAGTCAAAAGAAAAGGTTTGAACAGAACACCCTCCTTAGAGTCAGACAAGTGCAAGAATAAGTGAGAGGGGGACTGAATGAGTAGTAGTAGAAGTAGTAGTAGTAGTAGTAGTAGTAGTAGTAGTAGTAGTAGTAAGCCTTTATTTAAACTCGAAAGCTTGTTCGGTACAACATATGACCGCTTTTCAACAAGGTCGAGGGTGAGGGCGGGGTCACGGATTACAAATCAAACCAAAGAGATATAATATAAAATAAAATAAATAGTAAATCATCAGTCCATTATTGATGATTCAATGCAATTTAGTTTGTGAGTAGGTTAATAAATGTGAGAGTTGATTAGATTTTTTAAATTTCTGAACATATCGATGTTGGCTTCGATCACGATGTTGGCTTGACGTCAAAGGCTTTCTTATATTATATTCTTAATTTCAAAACTGACCATTCTCATTTCCACATTCTGGGAGACCCTCCTCCTCTTCCTGCGTCTTCGGTACGAGACCATGAGGACCAGGACTGCCACGGTGGTGAGAAGGAAGGCCACGGCCAACACGAAAAAGATGACCGTGGACGTGTGTGCAGCCACCCCGACGTGCGACTCACTTGAAGGGTTGGGTGTAGATGGTTGACGTATCCCCCAGGTCGTAGCTAAAAAGCACATAAAATTATGCCAACCTAACGAAATTTTAGGGTTGTATGCAGACTTAAGCTTTTCCCTGCTGCCTAACCCAATAACCAGCACAAATTTGGGGCCAAACAGCTACATTAGCAAGCTGAATGTTAAATGCAAATTTGGCTCAGTACTTGAGTCATGTATACGTAAAGTCACTTGTCCAAAGTAGTGGGTCACTTATTCTGATGAAGGCATTAGAAAGGAAATTCTATTTTTTTAGTAAACAATAAGGCAAACACAAAGCAACTCAAGTTTTTATTTAAAAAAACTTTTCAGGCTTTTCAGGAGAAGCTGGTAACTGAAGACTGATAGTTCATATATCACACCAAATTTCAACTGATAATGCTGAGGTCACATTTTCAAACCGGGGCCCGGCCGGGCAGTCTAATTGAACGAAAATTATGATGTAAAAAACAACAAAGGCTTACAAAGCACAAAAAAGGTTTTTAGAAAATTAAGCATGGGAACTATTTGCGTACATTCTTGATATAGATTGTTGATTTTTTTTCTTAATCGAAACAGCCCGTCCGGGCCCCGATTTGGAAATGTGACCTTGGCATAGGAGAACAAACCTACCCGGTAGTGGTGGCGTGCTGAACGTCACGAAAGCCTCGTTCCCCTTCCCCTTCTGGTTCCGTGCTGACACCTTCAGCAGGTAGGACATGTTAGGGACCAGGTTCTCCAGTACAAACCTGGTCTGGGTCTTATCATACACAACCCGCTCTCGTTCGCTGGCGTCCTTAGGAGCTGGGAACGAGAACGTTAGGGTTACTAGCGTCACCTAGTCATTAAGACCTGAGGAGCAACTGTATATCATTGTATGCGCGTACATAAAGTCAAATCTGCTTAAATTGCCACGTCTTTAAGCCATAACTTTTCAAGGTTTTGACAAGCATCAAGAAACCTTCTAAAGAAAAAAAACTGCCCAGGAAGACCGTTTTACTTTGGTTGCCAGAGTGGCCTTCAGGTTTGACTGTATGTTCGTATTGTCAACGTGTTCATCACTTAACGTCGGTGAATGTTTGAATGTTAGATACCCGGGTAATAAGATATGCCAAAAATCAGTCACTCAAGCAACTGGATATGATTTTGGACACGGTCAGATGTTTCAGGTAGCATCCACTCCACTATCGTCATTGACACTTAAGATTTGTCAGAAAAGCAGGTTTATAAGTACGAACTGTTAGTTGATATGCAAATACATGATTGATATCCAAAAAAACAAAAGATAGACCAGTCAAAACAAGGATTATGCAAATTATTCAGGTAGGCCAAGTAGCTTCTTTTGTTTCAAAACATCACTTTTCATCACTTTGGTAGCCCAATCTTAGTGTTAACGTTTGACCATAGCTGGTTTAAAACACCTACCCAGAGGTCTGTATCTGAGGATGAGGAAGTCGATGTAGTACCCGTCCTGTACGGACCACATGACGGCAGCCGTGGTGGGGGTCAGCGGGGTCACCTCGACGTCATCAGGGGCCGGGGGACGACCTGACAATCACAGGCGGTTATTAGGACACCATGCGGGGAAATGGTCTTTCAACACAATTAACGGGAAACTTCAGTGTAACATGACTGTTAGGAACAGTATATAGTAGAGCGGATTCATTAAAGAGGTAGTAGAAAACAAAAACAAACGTATCATACGACGTTTAGCAACATTGGCATTCTTGGTTACAGGTGTAGTGGGATCATCTTACTTAGCTGGAAGGTCCGTGCCGACAGCTTGGGGGACCAGGGTCCGAAGTTGATTGTTTTTGCCGCCACTCGGACGACATAAACCGTGTCAGGTCGGAGTCCTTCTATCCTCGTACTCTGAACGCTGCTGCTGAGAACACGGTGTTCCCACATCGCTTCAGATCTGCACGAGAGACAGAGAACTTTTGATAAAAAGTCAGCTAAAACTGTTTTACGAAATCATGACATCGAGCGAAAAGGCCTTTTTGGGCCTTTTTAACTAAAGTAGCATTTTGAATACCAATTCTCCATTGGTTACATCGTCACAGGCAACATTGTTAGGCAGCAGAGAGAAGGTCAACCTGTTGTTTTCTTCTCAATAGCGACTGTTGGAGGCGGACTAACAGCAATAAGACTGGAGTCTAGACAAATGCTATATATCTATAACGTATAAACAAGTTGAACTGATTTTTTTAACGGAATGGTTCAATGCAAGGCCTATACGACCACTTCTCGGCATTGAACTAGAAATATGAGAGAAACATGGCTATGCCAAGAGATGGCGGTGAACGTTTGATTTGAAAGCCTGTAGATTGTAGGTTGGTGGGAAACACTTGTCAGGGAGGGAATACCAAAGCTCGGCCGTACGGGGAAAGAAATTGCCACTGTAAAGTGATTTCGAAAAAGGAATTTGGACGGTGAAGTTGTGTGAGCTAGTGGAGAACCTAGTAGATCGCTTAATAGTTCTGAGTGGTGGAACTAGTTGGGTGAGTTCTGCAGGGCAATGACCATGAAAATATCTGTAAAAGAGGGATAGGGATTTTGGCCGACCGGGAAGAACAAAGATCTTCGGCGTAACACGCCAGATTAATATAGGTAATCTAAAGATAGATGCCCTGACCTGGTGGGATCGTCGGTGTAGATGACCTTGTACTCGGTGATTTTGGTGGATCCGCGGTACTCGGCCCGTGCAGGGGGCAGCCAGGACACCTCCACTGCGATGGGAGAGATCGGGCGGACCTGGACGTCTGACGGCGGGGACGTGGGCCCTGTGCGATACAACAGGACAGGATGTCAACAACGAAAGCTACTGATGGAAATAACTTTTAGTTAAGGCCACAGCAAGTAATTTTTATGGATGACATCAGTGCGCGCATTAATTTTCGCCTGATTTTGAAACAAAATTGTTGCCTTCTGACAGTGGTCAACATGCCGAAAATGGGCAAAGATGTCTGTTGCCATGCCGGAAGGTGGATGGCAGATAACTATGAAGAGAGGAGACAAGACAAAAAGGCTCTGATTTAATGTTTTTTTTTTACTTTGATGCAGTGACATGTGATGCTGGCTGTGTATATGTGATGTTCCCACTGAATCAAAACCATTTTTACCATGATTGGGTCAAAATTTTGAAATGTAGGAACCTTGTTTTTTTCGCCCACTCGCATCAGATTTGGAGTCTGCGGAGGATGTCATACATAAAATTTACTAGCTGTGGCCTAAGGACTAGATGCGAGAACAACGAAAGCTACTGATGGAAATAACCTTTGGTTAAGGTTTGCACACACACACTTAGATGGCATAGTTATTACAAGGCATAATATCAAACCTTCGCTCCTATCGACAGATTTTAAACTGCCACGCAATCAGTACTAGTGCAGTAGTTTACATGTGTAGTTGAACTTTCCACCTAAAATGCATTCTGTATACAGGTCAATTCATGACGCTCGGGTTTGGAAAGGTCGTGAGCATCTCCATGGTGCTGAAGGGTTATCCATAGTTGCAGTTTTTCTCTGACTTACAAGATGGCGCTTTTTCTAGCTTGCAGCCGTGCATACAAGTATACAGCAGGTTGTGCCACTATGTTATACTAGATGTATGACGTAAAGCAGTATCAAACTTACTCTCCCTGAGAGTTACGTTGGACACATATGTGCTGTACTCTCCCGGGCCGCCCTGTGTAGCCGCTCGTACCTAAACATGACACAGACATCAACATGAACAAAGAGTTAATGGTTAATGACCCGCCCCGAGGTGTATATGGTGTGATAAAGCCTTGTCAGTTGCTATAACCACCGAATAAAGCCACCGAGTGAGCGCAGTTTTCTTGTAACGTTATGTCATAGTTATTTCATTACAGAAGTGAGTGGGGATTGGTGAGACTGTAGACTGACAGGAATGTCAAATTGGAGGTCAAAATGGCCTCCTCACTGGATGAGAGGAAGTGACGGTGGAATATGTACAGAATCAGCGATAAAACCAGAATAAGGACTTAATTTTATGGATGACATCCTCTGAAGACCCCTAAACTAGTGCGCGCGGGCGAATAAAAAAATTCCGGCCAAAAATAAAAATGCTACTAAACCACAGGAATACAAAGCTGGTATTGAGAATTTAGCGGCAGTATATAGCGACGTATATGACAAGCCGGCTTTTTGCGAAATTTATGAACCGGCGCTGTACGTACGTACTGAGTTCTTGAGTCGTGGAGCTTCGGTAGCCTGGGTGCCATAGGCTCCGTATTGTAGCAAACTACCATGGACTACCCAGGCCTAGAGCCAGGCCAGAGCCTCGGAGGACCTGATCTTTTTTTAGAACAGGCGAAAATCAATGCGCGCACGGACGTCATCCACAAAATTGAGTCGGTGTGGCCTAATATGAATCACGAGAAATGTTGCATCTTTACACTACAAGTTTTAGCCCAGGAAAGCGCCGGACTTTCTGTACCAGCCCCGGTGGTGTTACGGATTAGCTCAGGTCCTCCGGGGACGTCCCCAGAGTCGGCCGGGCAGGGCTGAGGTCAGCCGCGGGTGAACTATATAACCGTCCCCGTCTATCCTGTCAATGCAATTTAACCTGGAGAGAATTCAAATAAAACTAGAAAGGCCGACATTTGCTTTGGAGCAAATACAGCAATGGCTTCACCACATTTTACGACATGGCAGGGAAAGAATGAGAAACACAAGGGAAAACAATGCTTTACATTGATATAACTATAGTATGAAGTAACATACAACTAAGACTACAACAGTTGGATAGCTATTCCCTACATTATTGGTTAGGATTTTTAATTGCATAATGCAAACTGTTGATTTTCAAGAAAAAAAGAAGTGTTCATGCCCTGCATTCCAATGCTGGAGCAGGAAAGCTTGAAATACCTACCAAAACACTTGAATACAGACATACTGTCAGTATGGAATGGATCTGAGCAGGTATTAATTAAGTTAAGCCTGTTAAATTCCAACAGCCAATCAGCAAGGAGAATAGAGGAAAGCTGCATGCCTATTGGTTGATGCCCTGCATTCCATTGTGATGACTCATGCCAAATGTGGTAACACTGCACACTAACTCAGTAATACATTTGCTATAACACAGCCAAAAAACTCAAATAAAACCATTCTAAAAGCCTGTATCACAAAAATTTAAAAAACGCCTAGGGGTATTTGCCCACTGTACCTCCATACCAAATTTCAGGACCTTAGGCCCTAAAATGAAGAAGCTGAATCCATTTAAAAAATGGCAGGAGAAGGAGAAGGAGAAGGAGAAGGAGAAGGAGGAGAAGAAACATCAGAAAAAGCAATATGGGTTCACCACCACTTCGTGGTGTGGTGAACCCATAATTATGTAGCCTAGTTACTATGGAACAATCTTCCATTTTTGAGGTGCTAGTTATTTGCTTGTTATTTCTCAGGTCGGTGATGTTGTTTGGCTATGTTCGTTTTCTTGTGGGGGCCCACCGGACCCTCTGGTCAAGAAAATCTACGCTTTCAATGACCCGGCTTCTCTATTTCCTCTCCATACGACCCATTAGACGATTCCAGACATAACCATACTCAAAGTCTTCTCCTTTCTCTTCGCTCGAAAACCACAAAACTTAAGGATCAGATACTGTTCAAGTCTATGAGAGTTCATTCAGACCACTTTCTTCTAGACCTGGCCAGTCACCCAGATCAGTCCCAGGGTACAGTATACCAACTTTGTTCTCGAAACAAAGTTTGTGATCTTATATCTGGTATAAGTACTGTTGCATTACAAGACGATATACACAAAATACTATACAAGACTGTACAAATGTATATGCTAACGTTGCAAGGAATCATACTAGCATTATACGTATTCCAGATGTTCCGTGACAGGGGACACATCGAACTGGTGCACGGGGCCAGTACCAAAGTCTGCCTGCGAAACTATATGGGACGTGTGAAATCTTGTTACCTGTCTTGAAAAATACACCCTACTGGCATACGGATGGATACAAGCATCTTACATTTTCTTGCTTTCTGTCATTTGTACTTGCTACCTGTATTTGACGTACCCGGAAGACGTATGACGTCACTTCCTTCAGCCCGGTGATGACGTGTCTGCTTTTGTTGCCGTCCACCACAACCTCGTCTTCGTCCAGCAAGATCCGCTGTAAATCACAGTAGCTGATGGTGTAGTTCTGGATGATTCCATTCGTCAGGGAGGGGGGTAGCCACCTGACTTCCACCGCAGTTGGAGGGAGCAGAATGGCCTCCACTTGTCTGGGCGGAGAGGGTTCTGGAAGGTCCAAAATGAGTATACACATTTAGAAACAAATGCTATACTGTATTTCACATGATGATTGCAGTGTTTTCTAATTACGTTTACCTTCGCAGAAGAAATTTACATAACTGTTTTTGCTTTGTTTCTTCCTCTTCTTCTTCTCCAAAGAAATTACGTCAATGACTAGAATTCTGTCACCATGGTAACTAGCTCTGTAGCAGACACCCAGTGGTGCTGGGTTACATTATGTAGCAGGACAGAGCTGGAGGGGCTGCTCACCAATGAATGTGTTCGAGTGACAATAAACAGAGCAGTATTTTGTTAGGCCAGACCAATTGTGAAGGTAAACATTATGAATTTGCCTTGCAAATGTTACCTTTTTAGTTTCTAATTTTTTATTTTTTTCTGATTAGCCAAGATTTCTGATTTCTGCGACCACTACCGGGAACGCCTGCAAGGGAGGCTACCACCTGTAACTGGTGGACAGTAAAAACAAGTAAAATCTGAGATTTTATACCTCCGGGCTTTTCATTGTATATTTTTATATGTTGTTTACAACAACAATTGTTGCGCGCCGCAGGACTAGGGTTTTAAACAAAGAATTTATCGAGACCGGACACCCCTCTGTGCGAGGGGTCACCTTCGTGGACGAGACCGACAATACCTAATACACTCCAAAGGCCAACGGTCGCGACCATTTTCACGCTCTAAGGGGTGTTTTGGGGCCACCAAAGGGCACCATTCTCACGCCCGAAAACACATATACAATAAAAACAAAAGAACGTGCATTATCTACAGCCCAGTAGCGAAACATACACCGAGTCCCCAAAAAATCCGTCCAACCAAACCCGAGAAACAGCTGCGAACATGAAAATCTAAATCTCTCACAAAACCCTTCCGCGGAAGGATGTCTCCTCCCCCGGAGGTAACGATCCTGTACTTACTCCCCTGCTTGGTCTCCCCGAGAACACTCGTGCTGAGGTTGCCGGGCCCGGCGGCGCTGTAGGCCCGCACAGCCACCTGGTACACTGTGAACGGCGTCAGTCTGGGAGGACAACAGGAGAAACCGCCGGCGTAAGATATGACCATGAGAGACTAAACACTATTAGTCTACTACTCAAGCACATTTCCTCACGTGCATTTCCTTCAGTGATTTTATACGGCACTTCAATCTAGATAGAAAGCCCAACTTCAGGTCGTCATCAGTTTTACTAAATTTCTATTAAAAAAACAGCTATACCCTGGAGTGACAATGTGTAATTTATTTGAAGTTGAGCTTATGATACAAATCTTCAAACAAAATGTTCAGAATCGAGCTTGTTAAAAATATATATTTACATCACTGCTGAAACGTAAAAGCACCAAATATTGCATTTGCCCAAAACAAAAAGAAAAGAAAACGTGCGAATCAATGTGGACTGTATGATAAGTGTAACATATTACCATGTTACCATGTACTCATAGACAGTTGTAAAAATTACAGACTCTAGACAGATCTCTACTACTCACGTGATCCAAGTCTACGCTAGAAAAAGGAACAGTAAGCCGTATTTACCCTGACCTCTCAAACTTGTACACGCTCCCGGACGTGTTGACTACCTTTTCCAAACCATTGGCATTGTCTGAGGAGGTGCGCTGCCGGAAATGGACCTCATAACTGATGATGGCGATTTCTTGCTCCGCGACGGGCGCGTCCCAGGCGAAAATAAGCGAGTTTGCGGTACGTTTGATGACGCGGACATTACGTGGTCTTCCTGGTAAGACTGGGGAAGAAGAAAAAGACGGAAACTGTCTGACTAAGACTGGTATGAGTACATACAAACATAACCTTGACTGTGTGTACTAAGAAGCAAAGCGAGTAAGGAAGACTAGCGGTGGGCCCTTTGTAATTCCAGTAAAGTCTCCAAGTCTCAAAGATACGAGTTCACGCATTTTTTTTTGAGCTACCGAATGGCTGACTGAAAACGCCTCCGCCCCTGAGGCGTCGGCAAAAAATGCCTCCTTCCCTGAGGAGTCGCCAAAAAACAACATTGCCGTACCATCGCAGCCGGTGCTGAACGTAGCGGTGGGTCCCGGCGGCCCGTTGCCACCCTCCCCCGGCCGACTGAGCATCAGGCGCGCCTCGTAGCTGGTGCAGGACTGGAGGTCCGAGATGGTGATGCTGGGAACGTGCACGCCCGGTATGGCGTTCCACCCCGTCGTGCCCACCTCCTGATGACGTAGGGAAGTGACGTCATTATTCAAATTAACCTAAGGCCATGTTGATTTGATTACATGGATGACATCATATAGGAACCCCAAACTGACGCAAGCGTGCGAATAAAATGAAAGTTTGGCAAAAAACAAGTTTCCTTCATTATGAAATCTACGTGGTCGTAAAGGTTGAACAAATGACTTAACACACAGAGTATGGTATGGCGAATAATATTAGGCTCTTCATTTTCATTTCTTCACATTTTCTTCTTTTCCTGATTTCGGCGTTCTATGACATTAGTATAGTTTTCCAATATTTTTTTTGCAACATACGACATGTATTCGCTGATCATTTTGTACGATTTACAGTTTGGCCGAAAACTTTTTTTTAAACAGACGACAATTCATGCACGCGCGGATGTCATTCATATACATTGTAATGAAATCATGATCAACATGGTCTAACATTATAACATCGATGAATGTTAGACATCCAGCCAAGTAAGGAGATACACAAGGAAATTATAACTCAAGCTACTGGATAGATTTTGAAAACTGTTGCCGCTTCAAGTAGCATATACAACTTTTTTCGTCAGTGGTACCGGTTACTCTCAATTACCAATGTCACAAGCTTCAATAGTCCTATGATGGAATGCAGCTGATTTATAGAATTTCCCCATAAATTATGCAAACTATATTTGCATAATTGTCACATAATTATATTAAGCACCATGTAAGCTACTTTCATTTTAAAAGTCACGAAGATCCGTCAACCGGTTCTTGAGTTATCCTCTTTTCAATATTTTCAAACAGATATCCCTGCAGTTTCAGAGCAAGCCTCTAGGGGCCCCAAACTCACGTCACTTCTTTCCCAGTGACGGAAGGACGGACGGACACACACATACACGAACGCCTCTGAAAACATTACCTTCTTGGCGAAGGTAATAATGCGTTCAACAGCGAGTAGGTAGGAGCAACTGTGTTGTATGGTTATTGATCGTCAATTTGCTGTATGTATAAAAGGCTTATATGTACGTATTTTCAATCACTAAATATGAAACAAATGAGTGTTACCTTATAGATGAGCGTCTGTGATTGGATCGGTCCGTCCCCCATGATGGGATGAGCGTTAAGCCGGACGGTGAGGGACGTCCGGCCGCGTCTGTCCAGGACAGGGGGACTCTTCGGGCTGGGTGGGGCTGTACGCACGGTTTGTTTGTTTGTTTGTTTATTTGCACAACAGCAATAAAAATTATACATAATACACTAATAATAAATAAAACAGGTGCAGGAGGAGGGAAAAAAGCTTATTTAGCTCATGCTAAGCCCTCCTCCTCTGTACTAACCAAAACTTAACATAATTGAATTGAAATAATACATACATACATAAGGACTTGTTATCGAAATATTTCAAACATGGGCAAAATGAGACAATAACAATAATGAAACAGTAGTATACATAAATTGAGATGAAATGAAATTGATATGAAATAATACATACATACATAAGGAATTGTTAGCAAAATAATTTAAACATAGGCAAAATGAACAATAACAATAATGAAACAATAGTATACATAAAAAATAATAATAACTGAAGATATGACTCTAATACAAGGGGCTGGGGTGGTCGGGGATGAATCCAAAAACCGACGTCATACACAAACAAATAATCAAATGTTCTAAATGAATTGTAACAGTGCGGGGTTTATAGGCGCTACCAACTGACCCGGCCAATGGGTCTAGACCTTTTAGCCGAGTGCTTAGAGCGTCGGAGTGTGGACTGGTGCCCGGGTTTGATCGTGGGTTCGAACCCCGGCCAGGGACTAGGGTTTTTAATCTGTTTCTACTCGCTCCTCCTCACAGAATTGGAGGAGGGAAGGAATAGTGGCCTAGCGACCATCAACGAGCCATAGAATTTGAAAGGTCTAGCCTTCCCAGCTATGCGTTGGCCATGGCATTTACGGAAACGCCTGCACCATTTCAACCTGCGCGTCATTAGAACAGGAGCGCCTCATTGCGAGCAAATGGCATCATTGCAGCTGGGATAAATGCAAAGTGATCGTGATATGATGACACGGTTTTTCAAATCCCTTTACGCTACACAGCAGTATTAGGCACTATTCACGTGTGTACACTCACTTTTCACGGTGAGGTTGGCGGCTTTCATCCCGTTGCCCACGTTGGTGGACACCATGCAAAAGTAGAGGCCCTCATGCGACTTCTTAACGCTCTGCACTCTAAAATACACCGTGGTCACCGTCAAGTCCTTGTGGACTTGGATCACCGGTTGTGGTTGATGGGCTGTATGGTATAAAGGCAAACGTATTAGGAAACTTTCGGAACGCTAAAAAAGAGAAAAAAAAGTCAAGAAATGGCAATGGAAAGAGTCACTCATTTCTTCAGGATCAATCAATCAAGATAATAAGAGATGTTGACTGACCGGCAGGTATGGCCGTCCCGTCCGGCAGTTGAAGCGACATGTCCTGAACCTCAGGCCGTTTGCTAAGAGCGCCCCTAGCGGAACATCTGAAGACGGCATCCGTGTTCTGGTTGACCTCCACACTCGCGAACTTGGTGATGGTTGGAATGTCCCCGTCGTAAGCGGCTTGAATTTCCCCGGCCAGTATTCCTCAATAACGATGGCATCTAGTAATGGAACATGTGAAAACAGTTGTTACAACTACATTTCATATTTCCATCTAGAATTATTAGGATGATTTTTGCCATGTTTAAAATGGATCCCTACGCGTTTTTAAGAAGAAAAAAAAGAAGAAAATAAACTTATATTTGTACCTTGTACAACTCTTGAGAAACTAAGTTAACTTCAATTATATATTCATTCTTGATATTTGTTTCCGGGCCTTGTCTACTGTATATCGTGAAATTTTCGCGGTGGTTTTAACCGGTTTGCGGGGTTCGCTGCGTTGACCACACCGATTTACCGTATTCGTATCAACGCATTCTTTTATTAAAAGTTCCTATTCCCTAAAACCACTATACAATCACCTCTTCTCTACTATATTAGACCACTGCGCGACTCACAGTCACAAGTATCAAATTGTTGACATGGAATAGATGAAACGGATACATTCAATATGATAGAGAAGATCTAGATGTTATGTCATTTATATAAGTATAATTAATGCGAACCAGAAAAATGTACACTGCACTCCCATTTTTCATGTAACGTAATGTATGTAAGGCCATGTTGATTTGATTATATTGATGACATCCGCACGCGCATGAATTTTCGGCCGTTTAAAAAAAAAGAAAGCTTTCAACCATACTGTAAATGGTACAAAAAGCGGTTTCAAAATGAGCAAATATATACCGCAAGTTGCAAAAAGAAATATTGGAAAACGATACCAATGTCGTAGAATGCCAAAATCAAACGAAAAAGACGAAAATGTACAGAAATGAATTTAAAGAGTAGATTATTCGCCATACCATACTCATGTGTCACTTGTTCAACCTTCAAAACCACGTAGATTTCATAATGAAATCAACTTTTTTTTGACAAACTTTTTTTTTATTTGCACGCTCGCATCAGTTTTGGGGTTCCCAGAGGATGTCATCCATATACATGTAATCAAATAGACATGGCCTAAAGTTATGAACGTATCATGGAACGCTGAGACTTGCTTAATTGTATATATTCGATTAATATATATAATGTAGGTTTTAAAATCACTTCCCTTAATTACTTTTATTGTGGTTAGGTATGTACTTTTAAGCGTATTTTTGAATCCGTCATTGTTGTAAAACACGCAATTCAGCCTGTGGCTGCCATGTGTTTTTGACGAATAAACCTTTCATATAGACCTTTCATATATATTAAGTAGCTGTACAGCTAAGACAGACAAGTGTCAAACGTCATTGAACATGTCCAGCCCAGCCATGCCTTCCTCCGGCTGTTCTATAATTATCCTGTGAAAGGATGTTGGACAACGTGAGTAGGAAAAGGGATCGAATGCTTTCAAGTCATCTACAATAATCCTTTACAAACAGTTAAAAATACTATACAGAACAGCCCCGGTTATATTTGATTAAGACGTTATATTTTGACCTCAAAGTTTTTCATATTTACGTCAAAAAGATAGGAGAGCTGATATTGTGTTTGGAAAAACTTGTGCCAGTAAGGGGGGCCAGCAAGCCCTTTTCCGTAGAGTGTAATCGGCCGTTTTAATTCTACGTAGAGCGTAGACGGACGGCTATAATATTTTTGCGTAGATCGAGCGTATTCGCGAATTCGGCGTTTTAATTCTACGTAATGCGTTGTAGCCACTTGGAATTTATCGTAAAGGCTAAAGCGTAATCGTAATTCAGCGTAGCGTTGTCGGGACACCCCCTCGCAGGCCCTCAGTAAGGTCGAGCTGAGCTGTCACGTGACCGGGTATGAAAAACCCTGCTTCCTGAAGATAACGTCTTTTCATGGACGTCGCCTTTTCCTCCTGCAGGAGGCTGAACAAGCCGCGCTGCCTTTCTAACTCAGCTTATCGACGGGGGACCAAAGTACTAGTAACATCTCACTCGGTGACACACATTCTTTCACAGATATCAAAAGAACTGACAAGTGTTTACAAGCGTGTAATCTTGTCATCTGCAGGCTATATTGCTTGTTTTCACTACCATGTTGTTTTACGCGTTGATACAAGAAGGATAAAAAGATCGAAACAGACTGGTAAAATCCTAACCAACCTTTTCGAACTTGTTGTGAAACATGCAAGATATCTCAAGAATGCTGTTAAATATTCCCAACATCTACTAGTGCTTCCGAAAATAATTTCATCAGGTTGGTAGAACTTAGGAGACGGCGGCGAGATGCAGTACTCCAGTCAGAAGCTCTGAAGAAGGTGTCTGACAGACACCGAAACGTCAGCAAGGTGGGAATTTACCGGTTGTGAAAAAAAGAAATACCTGTCTCCTATCTACTAGTGCTATGTGGCAATACAGAATCTGTAAAATTCTTACCGGTAAAACAGAGGAACTTCAGAAGTATGAGCCAAGCCGTCAGCAGCCACATCGTAAGCCTCTGCCACCGTCCGATTCATGAATGAAACTCGCAAGGACTTTCGGGACGCCTGAGCGTGCAACATCGGATGAACGGATTTCCTCTCACCGAATCCTGCCCACCCCCGGGTGCGGTTTGGTATTGCCCTGTTACATCGACACCTGCAAATGGTGTAAGATGCTCTTGGGCTGTACCACTGGTCCCAGAGGTGAGTTATGAAGAAAAAGTGACAATTTTAATGGAAAGTGAGTAGGTTCCGGTGGCAGTCGCACGGAAGGGGGCGGATAGGGGTACGCACGGTCAGATGTACAGCAATGTTGGGGCATACAAAATTATGACATATTCGCAGAATTGTGTAAAGTCCTTCTTACTGTAGTTGAGGAAACACGACCAATGATGACAAATACTAGGATCCGCAGATATTCTTGATGTGTTCCATAAAAATTTCTCATTTGTTAAAAAGAATAATTGTTAAGTTGCGTAATCCTTGAACAGATTGACAAGAAAACATTGAAAAACACCTTTCTACGCGTATCCAAGAAATAAAAAAAGACTGCAGAATTTGCACGATGTATTTTCAAAAGCCAGGATCGGACCAGTTGTTGTCGTTGCATGATGTAAAGTTAATCTTCGTTTCAATGCTTGACGTCTAGGAAGTAGAGGGCTACAGAGGGATTACAGTTGGCAGCTTACAAGTCTAGATCTTACCCCACTATAGGTGAGGTGGGCAAGCAAAATGAGAGAGCAGGCATCTGAGTGGTACACTTTAGCCTCTACCAGGCACCGCGGATCGCTGGAAAAATAGTAGAAATTGGCCGAAGTAAAGGGATAGTATACCAGAGAAGAT